CAGGCCCACCGAAGGATGTTCCAAGAACCCTTTTGCTGGTCTGCGCGAGCTGCTCTTGGAACATTTCTGGCTAAGACTGTCTTGTTTTAATACGTCGGGCTTATGTTCTAAGAACATTGCTTGTGCTCTTAGAAATTTTTGGGGTTCTAAGAGCATGTCGTGGTAGGACTATAGGAATGGCGCTGCCTCGGAGGCCTTCGGCGGCCTCGCTCGGCGGAGGAGGCGGCCCTCGAGGGAGGGGGAGCGCTGCACATCGGAGGAGGAAGAGGCATCACAGAAGAAAGTACACCAGAGAAAAAAACAATTATGCTAACGGAGTTCCCCACATAAAGAGATTAACGGTCTCGTGGGACCAATTTTCTTGATGCCCTCCTCGCTTTGGCGGGGCCCCGCTGGAAGGGGGGAGGGCTACGAAACCTGGCGAAGAGTAATGTTTTCCGCGACCCTCCTCGTTCAAGCGCGGCCTCTCTGGAGGAGTGGAGGGGGGACACGAAACCGTGTAAACAGCATGTTTTCCGATACCCTCCAGGAAGAGGAGGAGGAGGAGGAGGAGGAGGAGGAGGAGGAGGAGGAAGAGGATAAGATGGATGATGGCGAAGAGCAACAGCAGGAACCGCAGCAGGAGCAGCAGCGGGAGGTTGGTTTGAGTGGTCTCATTGTCCTCGTGAGGTCCGATTCGTGAGGTTGGTCTGAGTGGTCCCATTTCCCTCGTCCAGTCGAGGTTATACAAGAGGGTGGGCGACACGAGTTCGCTAGACGAAAGCACTTGCCGATGTGTCTGGTAACTACAATTCGAACGCAGACACTGAACGAAACCATGTAAATAATATGGTTTTCGGATACCCTCCTCGCTCAGGCGGGGCCTCCCTGGAGGTGTGGGAGGGGCACGAAACCATGTAAATAGTATGGTTGTCCGATACCCTCCTCGCTCAGGCGGGGCCTCCCTGGAGGGTGGGAGGGGCACGAAACCATGTAAATAGTATGGTTTTCGGATACCCTCCTCGCTCAGGCGGGGCCTCCCTGGAGGGGTGGGAGGGGCACGAAACCATGTAAATAGTATGGTGTTCGGATACCCTCCTCGCTCAGGCGGGGCCTCCCTGGAGGGGTGGGAGGGGCACGAAACCATGTAAATAGTATGGTTTTCCGATACCCTCCTCGCTCAGGCGGGGCCTCCCTGGAGGGGTGGGAGGGGCACGAAACCATGTAAATAGTATGGTTTTCGGATACCCTCCTCGCTCAGGCGGGGCCTCCCTGGAGGGGTGGGAGGGGCACGAAACCATGTAAATAGTATGGTTTTCCGATACCCTCCTCGCTCAGGCGGGGCCTCCCTGGAGGGGTGGGAGGGGCACGAAACCATGTAAATAGTATGGTTTCCGATACCCTCCTCGCTCAGGCGGGGCCTCCCTGGAGGGGTGGGAGGGGCACGAAACCATGTAAATAGTATGGTTTTCGGATACCCTCCTCGCTCAGGCGGGGCCTCCCTGGAGGTGTGGGAGGGGCACGAAACCATGTAAATAGTATGGTTTTCTGATACCCTCCTCGCTCAGGCGGGGCCTCCCTGCATTTTCCGATACCCTCCTCGCTCAGGCGGGGCCTCCCTGGAAGGGTGGGAGGGGCACGAAACCATGTAAATAGTATGGTTTTCCGATACCCTCCTCGCTCAGGCGGGGCCTCCCTGGAGGGTGGGAGGGGCACGAAACCATGTAAATAGTATGGTTTTCGGATACCCTCCTCGCTCAGGCGGGGCCTCCCTGGAGGGGTGGGAGGGGCACGAAACCATGTAAATAGTATGGTTTTCCGATACCCTCCTCGCTCAGGCGGGGCCTCCCTGGAGGGGTGGGAGGGGCACGAAACCATGTAAATAGTATGGTTTTCCGATACCCTCCTCGCTCAGGCGGGGCCTCCCTGGAGGGGTGGGAGGGGCACGAAACCATGTAAATAGTATGGTTTTCCGATACCCTCCTCGCTCAGGCGGGGCCTCCCTGGAGGGGTGGGAGGGGCACGAAACCATGTAAATAGTATGGTTTTCGGATACCCTCCTCATCAGGCGGGGCCTCCCTGGAGGGGTGGGAGGGGCACGAAACCATGTAAATAGTATGGTTTCCGATACCCTCCTCGCTCAGGCGGGGCCTCCCTGGAGGGGTGGGAGGGGCACGAAACCATGTAAATAGTATGGTATTCCGATACCCTCCTCGCTCAGGCGGGGCCTCCCTGGAGGGGTGGGAGGGGCACGAAACCATGTAAATAGTATGGTATTCCGATACCCTCCTCGCTCAGGCGGGGCCTCCCTGGAGGGGTGGGAGGGGCACGAAACCATGTAAATAGTATGGTATTCCGATACCCTCCTCGCTCAGGCGGGGCCTCCCTGGAGGGGTGGGAGGGGCACGAAACCATGTAAGTAGTATGGTTTTCGGTATGGAGTGGTATGGAATGGTATGGTAGGTATGGTATGGTACGGTATGGTATGATATGGTATGGTATGGTACTGGAGGTATGGTATGGTATGGTACGGTGTGGCATTGGTGTGATATGGTATGGTATGCTATGGTACGCCATGGTATGGTATGGTACGGTATGGTACGTATGGTGTGGTATGGTATGGTATGGTATGGTATGTATGGTAGGAACTATGGTATGGTATGGTGTGTGTGGTAGGAATAATATTGTGCTGTATGGAAGATGGAGCGGGAGGTGGGTGGGAAGGAGAGGGTGTTCTGGGAAAACAAGAACCCCACTCAGGATGTGGGGAATTAGTGGATGGTTTGAGGTGGGATCGGTAAGCGACCGATAAGGAGATCGACCGGGAACGGCCTGGAACCAATAATAACCAGGAACCCGGGAACCCGGAAGCGGGAACCCGGGAACCCAGCCGGCTACCCAACTCGGCGGGGAATGTTCCCCTAATTTTTTAACTTCCGATAGGACCCCTTCAGTGCACGCACTGATCGCGGAAACACGGCATCAGCACAAACTTCTTGGCACTCCGCGCAGATTTCTTGGACCCGCGCGGACGTATTGCAATTGGATCTCTTGGATCTCCAGGGAGGAGAAGCGCTGTACACCAGAGGGGGACTGGTGTTCGCGGCGTCGGGTCTCGCGGGGCGTGGCGGCGCGAGCGCGGGGCGCCCGGGGGGGTGCAGGGCCGCGAGCACGGGGTCATCAGCGTCGGCGGCGGCTTCCAGCCTTCAGGAGGGGAAAACCACCCAGACACAATTTGTCGTCGATTCCCATGAAAATATGGGAAAATATGGGAAGTGGGGGGGGAAGACAAAGACCCAGAAAATATAGGAAAATATTGGGAATCTTGTGATTTGTGTGTATGTATTTGTGTGTCCCAAGGCACCTTCAAGACTCGCGGCTGTGATCCCTGAGGCGGAAAAGGTACCCGTACCGCTACCCCAGATCTTCCAGGATCCTGCAGAGCCAGGGCTGCACTGACCTGGGCTAGGGCGCAGGATCCTGCAGGATCTTGCAAAGCCTGACTGACCCGGGGCTGGATTGACCCAGGTCAGTAAATCACCGGGGCGTGCGGACGGGCGAAACATCGAGCGCATGGCGGGGCGGGTGAGCGTGCGGGCGGGCGGGCGGGCGAGTTAGGATGCGCGTGTGCTCGTCGTCGTCGTTGCTTTTTTCGTCGTCGTCGTCGGCGGCGACGCCGAACCGGTTCCTCTTCGTCACACTCCTTTGAACACCAATGGAATGTGTTGGATTCGTCCCTTCGAGCGCTGCCGCGCGAAGACTAGAACAATGCTTCTCCGCTACCTGCGTTGCCGCGTGGCGAGTCGAGTATAATGGTATTGATTGTTCGCTTCATTTATAGGTACAGTGGAGACCCATGCCAAGAAACACCCTGCTTGCCTCCAAGGTGCCCTGGGTTTCTTGGGTGTCGATGTTTTTGCGATGGAAAGCGTGACGTTCCCACGTTAATAATGGATGGACGTCTTGGGGTCTCAGGGTTGGGTTTCCTGTGGAAGGTTTCTTGTGGAGTCGCCTCCACTGTAGCACGAAACACGACTTGCGTTCGCTTCCTTGCGCTGCAACCTGGCGAAAGTAAGCCGGCAGGAGGGCGCGAGGGCGGGCGGGCGGGCGGGTAGGCGAGCGAGCGTGCGAGCGGGCGTGCTTGCGTCTGCTGTGCACCTGCGGGCTGGTAGGTGCAACTGCTCCCATGGCGTAGCTTTGCTTGCACAAGTGTTAGTTGTTATCTTGCGGCGTCGTCATCAGCATCGCGTTGCCGTTTTGATGTTTCATTCTCGGCTTCGTGCGTCTTTCGCGAGGAACCCGGATGCCTGCGAATCCCTCTGCCGATATCAGTCTCTCCCGCCCTAGAATGGAAAATCCGTGGTGGCCGAGACTCTCTCACGAGGGCAGCCGTTTTGCTTCGAGGTGCCTCATTTGGGCTCACGGGGCAAGCTCGGGGCCAACCATGGAATCGATTTGTCCCTTGCTCCGTTGTATATCGAGACAAGGGGGCTTTAAGGCGGAGGGGCTGGGAAAAGCGGGTGTTCGGCGGCAGCGACGGGATCGGGCCTTCAACTCGTCCAGGCTTTCCCGCCCGTCAATGCGTTGGGGGTGCCTCCAGGAGCGTCCAGCAACTGCGTCCTTCGCCCGAGACAGTCTTCCTCGTTGTCCCGAGCAGTGTTCCCGGTTCGCCTTCCTTGCCGAATTTTTGCGTCGGGGGGCATGGGTTCGGTCGTTCGCCCATCGAAACTTCTTCGCTCGGCCGGTATTTGTTTCTTCTAGCTTGTCGATCGCGTAATGGGGGGGATAAAATGGGGGGTGAGGGGGACCCCTTTGGGGCCCAAAAGCGGCGCGACATGTGCATGTGTTTTCTCCCCCCCATGCATCGCCCCCCATGATGCGACGCCTAAGGCCGCAGGGTGATGGCATCCAGCGTACTGCTATTTTCATGAGTCTTTCTGCAGGGCGCGTGCATCGTGATCCTGTCTGGCTCCAGCGGGAGCAGGAGGCGCACGAGCAAGAGCAGCAGCAGAGCGTGCACGCTGCGGCCGCCGACGAAGACCTCCTCGGACTGGGCAGCGCGGCAGCGCGGGCACCGCGCCCGCCGCGAGGGCGATGCACAGCAGGGTGACTGACGCAACATGGTCCACGTAGCACCGCGGAGCGCGCCTGTCCGCCAGCAGCGTCGCAGCGGGAGCAACCTGAGCCGCGCAGGGGGAAGCCTGCAAATTCGCCCCTCCTGGGCAGCCTGCGCTGCGCGGGGGGCGACCCTGCAGCATTCGCCGCTGATTTGGAGACGCGCCGTATCGCGCGGCTGCCTGATTTGCCTGGCGGAGTCGGCGTTCATCCGCCGGTGGCCGCGCCGTTCTCCCGCTGATCGGCGGTTGTAAAGAATGCCTGCCAGAAGCATGTTAGCAGGAGCAGAAGCACTGCGAGTTAACGTGGCGCGAAAAGAACACATCATCACAAGAACCAGCGACCGGAGCTCTAGACCCCATTTCTCTGTTTCGCGTTTCGAACCGGATCGACATGGCATGATCCCAGGGCACGGCGCCAGGCGAAAACGCTCGGCTCGAACAGGCATTGTAAGACGCCAGGATCTCAGGGAGCACAAGGTGGGACAGGTTCGGACGAGGATTGATCCCCTCGAGGCTCCAGAAAGTTCCACAAAAGGTCTCCCGAGCATTATACGGGGCGCGAAGGCCCCGGCGCCCGAGGCATCGCTCAGAGCAGCCAGACTCTCAGAAATTCTCGATGTGTCCCCACCCGGTTTTGTGCTCGCCCTGGCTTCGTCCCCTTAGGATCGGGGGCGGCAAAGAGGGGGCTGATGACTAGGGGGGGTGGATATCGTGGCGGGGGCCATGACATTTCCCCAGATTTCATGGCGCCTCTTCTTATTCCATTACGTCCCTGGTCCCCCCGCTGGGCCGCGCACATGCCACCGGTCATGATTTGCACCCCCCCCTCTTGGACACCCCCCTCGTGGCCGCTCCCGATAGGACCGAGCATTTTTTTGGGTGGAGGGCAAAGGGTGAAATCTGAAATGCCGTTTCGATGGATGCTCGAGGCTTGCATCTGCAAATGGTGAGTCGCAGGACGGATTGGTTTTATCGAGGTGCAAAAGCCCATATGGATTTCACCCTGAGCCCGCCACCCTCAGAAAACGCTTAGTAGGAGGAGCAGCAGCCGGCGCTGCAGGCGGAACCCGGCGCCCTGGGGCCCCCGTTGGGCCGCGCTGCTGGCCGCGTCGGCGTGCCTCGCGGGCGCCGCGGCGGCACTGGGCGGGAGGCGCCTCCGGCCGGCGGCCGCTGCGCGCAGCCCCGCGGCGGCCCCCGCGGCCGCCCGTCGGCGGCCCCCGCGGCGGCCGGAGGTGCTTTTTGCGTGGCGTTGGCCCCGTGGATGCGCTGATGGGCCGGTGTTCCACCACCACCGGAAGTTGGAGGAGGGAAGGAGGAGGAGGAGGAGGACCCCCTCCCCCTCCAACTCATGGTGGCGGTGGTGGAAGACAGGCCCATCGGGCGCTGCTCTCGAAAGTGTCCTGTGGTCTTCGAAAGTGTTTCGGGTGTGTTCGCTCGGGCCACCACGAGGGCGCGAAGTTAGCGTCGCGTCCTGGTGTCGGCGATTGCAGAGCGAGGCGCGAGTCTTGCATCCCAATTCGGGGGGGGGGCGGCGCGAAAGCGCGAAGAGAATAGACATCCGTTTCGCGACACTAATTTAACTATAATATGGTGAGAATAATGCCTTGGGGATGATATAGTTCGGGGCCCAGGCAGGAGAATCATTTTTTTCGCTGAGATATCGATGTTGATATGTCTGGATCGCATTTCGCCTGAGACATCCTCACAATCAGAGCCACGACAGGAACTTGGGAGGGGATGATCAAGTTCGGCCTTCCCGCCTGCTGTTTCAGCGCAACCTCTGGCGCGACCCGCGCGCCAGGGAGGGGGGGTCCAGCGCAAATGCAAGACATCCGAGCGGAGCGCCAACATTTTATGATTACGGCGTTTTTGCTTGTGTTCTAAAGGAGAAAGGGGGATGCTCGATTATCAAAGGGATGCGATTATCTCTAGGCCACCCAGATGGGGTCGGAGTAGATGGGGTCGAAGGATCGCGCCGCATCGCTGATGTATCGGCGATGCGGCTCGATGTGGAGCCCGAGTAGCTTTACGTCGACGTCGCCGATGCAGCACCGACATCGCCAGTGCATCACCACTGCATCGCCGATGCATCGGCGATGAGGCACGATCCTTCGACCCCATCTAGTCCGACCCCATTGAGGAGGCTTCTATTATCATCGTCCTGGTCTCGTCTCAGTTTTCGGCGGCCCCGACATCGCCAGTGCATCACCACTGCATCGCCGATGCATCGCCGATGCATCGGCGATGCGGCGCGATCCTTCGACCCCACCTACTCCGACCCCATCGAGGAGGCCTCTATTATCATTAGGTCGGGCATGTCCCCATACAGGCGGGTTCTGGACGAACAATCACAAATACTCCAAAACATACGCCAATAATGCTAGAAAATAGTCAAAGCATCGTCCCCTGATTATTTTTTAAACTATTTCTAAATATTCCCCCCGTAGAGGGTCAGGCCCGACTGAATATTATAATCGTCTCCTGATTATTTTGTTAACTATTTCTATGAATATTCCCCCTGTAGAGGGTCAGGCCCGACTTGATATCATCATCGTCCTGGCTTCGTCCCAGCTCTCGGCGGCCCCCGGCGGTCCCCACCGCAGCCCTCCGACGGCCCCCGGGCAGCTCTCCAGCCGCCTCGGGCGGCCTCCGGCGGCCGGCACCGGCGAGCTTCGGATGGCGGCGGCGGTGGTGGTGCTGCCTCACGCAACCCCTCTTCCTCCTCCTCCTCCTCCTCCTCCTCCTCCTCCTCCTCCTCCTCCTCCCTCTCCTCCTCCCTCCAACCTCCTCTCCTCCTCCTCCTCCTCCTCCTCCTCCTCCTTCTCCTCCTCATCCTCCTCCTCCTCCCCCCTCCTCCTCCTCCTCCTCCTCTTCCTCTCCTCCTCCTCCTCTCCTCCGCTCCTCCTCCTCCTCCTCCTCCTCCTCCTCCTTCTCCTCCGCCTCCTCCTCCTCCTCCTTCTCCTCCTCCTCCTCCTCCTCCTCCTCCCTCCAACCTCCTCTCCTCCTCCTCCTCCTTCTCCTCCCCATCCTCCTTCTCCTCCCCCCTCCTCCTCCCTCCTCCTCCTCCCTCCTCCTCCTCCTCCTTCTCCTCCGGCTCCTCCTCCTCCTTCCTCCTCCTTCTCCTCCGCCTCCTCCTCCTCCTCCTTCTCCTCCTCCTCCGCCTCCTCCTCCTCCGCCTCCTCCTCCTCACGCGCCCGCAGTCGTCAGAGGAGGATTACATCAAGCAGTGGCGAAGCGTCCTGTCGTACCTATAGGCCTACCGAACGATGCTCAAATAACCTTTTGGGTGGTCAGGACATTTCTTGCTAGGACTGTCTTGTCGTAACGCGTCGGGTTTATGTTCTCAGAACATCGGTTTTGGTCTTAGAGCATTTTGGGGTTATAAGAACATGTCGTGGTAGGCCTATAGGAATGCTGGGACGGTCGGTTCCTGCTCAAGTGGTGGTGGTCGTCGTCGTGCTGCGCTGCGCTACGCCCGGCCGAGCAAGTCGGCCTCATGCAGGGCTCGGGGATTGGCACAAGCTCGGAGGAGGAAAAGGTACCGATACCGCCACCCTTTCCTCGTTTTCCCGTTTTGTCGGCCTCCTGGGAGGTCCTCGTCGCCACCGCTGGATTCGCCTCGAAGTCCTGGTCAGAACGCACCTTGGGAGAGGTCTGGGGAGTAGCGGTATGTGATAGTTTTTTGCCCCCCCCCCCCCCCCCCCCCCTGGAGTAGATCTTGGTTGTTTTTAGGCGCATGTTTCGAGCAGGTGGAGCCTCCTCCATAGGACGCACGGTCCCAAACAGTCGCACTAAACAGAGGTCCAAGGCCAACCCCCCCCCCTCCCCCCCCCTTGCACCCAAAGTCGAAACGCCGAAAAAAAAGCTCACCAGAGCTGATCGTCGTCGTGCCAACGACTTCGCGGACGGCCTCTCGTGCGACGCAGCTGGCTGTTATTCAGCGCCGCGCACGCCGCCGGCGACCTTTCGTGCGCAAGCTTGGGCAGCAGTGGTGAGTTACAGTCGGGGCGCTGAAGAAGGAACCCTTGATGTGTAACAGGTTGCCGAAGGTTTCCCTGAGGTCTTCCATGGGAAATCGAAATTTCACTGATGGGAGAAAGGGGTCTCGTTTCTTAGGTCAACGCCCCGACTGTATGAGACGTCAGCCGATTCAGTAGATTCCCTTCTCTCTTGAGACCAATATGCTTTTCCCCTGGGCCTCCTGCTGGCCCACTTAGAAGAAAGATGACCACACACGCAAACGTAAATTTCTGGAGGTCCGCACGTGAGTAGTTCTTGTTGGGCACAAAGCAAGACCAACATGTTTTTCATTGCTCCCCCCCGCTGGCCCACTTAGAAGTAAGATTACCACACCAGCAAACATAAATTTCCGGAGGTCCGCGTGTAGTGCTTGATGCGGCGACGCTGGACTTGGCGGCCTCTCCGTCGCCGTCCGCGGCGCTCTCCACGCGCCAGTGGAGGAGGGTCGAGCGCCGACCCAAGAGATGCACACGAACCTGCGAAAGTATTGTGACAGTGGAGGCCCATGCAAAGAAACACCCTGCTTGCCTCCAGGGGGCCCTGGGTTTCTTGGGTGTCGAAGGTTTTGCTGTGGAAGGCGTGACGTCCCCACACCGAACATCAATGTACGTCATGGGGTCTCAGAGTTGGGTTTCTCGTGGAAGGTTTATTGTGGTCGGGTCTCCTGTATTGCTTGTGTTCCCTTTCTCGTACTCCCGCGGTCTCCGCGCACCGCTCAAGCCTCGTCGAGGATCGACGACCAAGTTCTCTTGTTGCGGTTTTCCACCGAAATTGTTGCGGCTGGCAGCGAGTTGCCCGCTGTCTGGCCAGCGTTCGGGGGGAGCACACAAGGTTAGGTGGTGGGCAGTACACATTGAGCAGTGCGGAACACCGAACCAGTGGCGGCCACGCATCGTTTTTGGAGGCAACTTGTGTTGCGTTCGAGAACCCGGGGTCGAGGATTTTGGTGTCCAGAACGCGTTCCAGGAGAGGTCCTGGGGTCGATTGGTATGCGCAGAACGTCGTCGTTGATTGTCGCCGTCGATGGCGTCGCCGTCGTCGTCGTCCTCGTGGCTGTTGCCGTGGTCTCTGTCGTTATCGTCATCGTCGTCGGGGCCGTTGTCGGTGTCGTTGTCGTCGTTGTCGTTGTCGCGGCCGTTGTCGGTGTCCCCATAAGCGTGATGGATGTCGGCTCTTGGCTGGGCTGGGAGACCGCATCCACCAGGCTCTGTGACCAAGTTGGCATAGTCCGCCCCTCCCCTGCTCCCTGTGCCTCCTCCCAGCCCCCGCCCCCGCTGTTCCGGAGGAGGGGGAGATTGACGTCTACGACCATTTCCATGACCGCGACGACAGCGACGAAAACAACAACGACGACAACAGCGACGACGACAGCGACTGCGCCGACGACTACCACTACCACCACGACGATCACGGCGACGAGGGAAGCTCGACTGCGACGACAACGGCAGCGACAACGGCGGCAACAACGACGACGACGACGATGGCGACGACGGCACTCTCGTGAGACGTCGTGTGGCCTTCGGAGGCCTTCGGAGGCCTTCGTGCGCTCTGCTCGCGTCTTTCGTGCGTCCTTGTGGTCCTCGCGCTGGCGGCGGCGGCCACGGCGACGGCGACGACGGGGGAACGGCTGCGGGCCCCGCGACGAGGCTGCTGGCCAGGCGCGCCAGCGCACCGTCGTTGGCGGCGGGCTCCGAGTGGAAGACGGCCCTGCCATCGCCGGTGGCAGCCGCCGCCACGGCCGACGACGACACGACGAACGGCGACCGTGGCGGACGACGGCGAACAACGGCGACCACGACGGACGACGACAGGCGACGACGACGGTGACGACGGGGGACGACGTCGACGCCGACGACGATGGCGACGACGACGACGTCGACGCCGACGTCGACGACGGACGACGGCGTGCGACGGCGGCGACGACGGTGACGCCGACGTCGACGCAGACGTCGACGACGGACGACGGCGACGACGTCGGCGTCGGCGTCACGATTTCGCCCCCCGAGGGATTTTGTTTTGGGGGTCCCGGGACCAACAAACATGGCGCGCGCGGAGGAAGAAATTGGTCTCGGGGGCGGGGCCGAGAGCTTCGATGCCCTCGCACCGGCGCGTGTTTTTTTTTTGAACCCAGAATCGCCCCTCGCTCCTAACCGAGTATGCGTGGGCGATTGTTTCCGCTTCGTGTGCGGCTGCAGTCGAAACAGGTCGCTGCATCCACAAGAAAGTTTGATCTTTGCAATCGTGCCATTACCATGACTTCTTGTTGCTCAGACTCGCTCTCTGATCGTGGCGTTGCACTTGATCCACGATCGGAGTCGTCACATTGCGCGCTCCGGAGATTGCCTGCGAGCGAGGGCACCGTGGCGCCGGATGGCAAATTCTGGAGTTCGGTGAGCCCGTGTCGTTGCGGGGAGTCGCCCCCCCCCTCCTCCCCAGAACGGTACCGATGGCACGCGTGGCGGGAGGGAGCTCCCCGACAGGCACGGCGCGGTGTTCACGGGTGCTGTGGTGTTGGCAGGCATGCTGTGGTGCTTACACGCATGCTGTGGCGCTTACGGCCCACCCACCCCCTTCGTCATGGACGTTACGGGGAGGGTAATGAGGAGGAGGAGGAGGAAGAGGAGGAGGAGGAGGAGGAGGAGGAGGAGGACGAGGGAGGAGAGGAAGGAGGAGGAGGAGGAGGAGGAGGAGGAGGAGGAGGAGGAGGAGGAGGAGAGGAGGAGGGAGGAGGAGGAGGAGGAGGAGGAGGAGGAGGAGGAGGAGGAGGAGGAGGAGGAGGAGGAGGAGGAGGAGGAAAGAGGCGCCCTGCTGCGAGACGGCAGCCAATAACGAGTCGTCTGGGCCCACCCTCGGGGGGTCCGCGAAGGAGCGGCAGAGCACCGCGCGTCGGCCCATGGAGCCGGGGAGCCGCCCGCACCTCCACGGCGGGCCGCGCTGCGCGAGGCGCGAAGCTCCGCGGCGCAACGCTCCTCTGCAGGGAGGACCCCCTCGAGAGCCTTGGATTAATTCGGGCCCGTCCCTCTACAGGAGGAATGCTCAAACGCAGTCCAAACATACTCGGGAGGCGGTTTTTGCCCGACACTGGCGTCCACGCCAAGGGGGTTCAGCCAGAGCGCCGGATCTTTGTGCAGCATCCTGCGGAGCCAGGGGTGCATGGGCCCCGGGCCAGCGCGCCGCATCGTGCAAGGTCCTGCAGGATCCTGCAGCGCCCGACTGACCATGGTTTGGACTGACGCGGGTCAGTTGATCTCAGAGGAGAAAACATACAGACACAATGAATCGTCGATTCCACAGAAAATATACGAAAATATGGGACGTGGGGGGGAAGACAGAAACCCAGAAAATATGGGGCAATGTGGGGAATCCTGTTACTTGTGTGTGTGTGTTTATTTGTGTGTCCCAGGGCCCCTTCAGGATCCCCGATCCCCCCCCCCCTCCCCTCGGGGGGGGGGCGGGACGGCGCACCCGGCGGCGAGAGATGCACTGCGATTTTGTCCAGCCTGCCCCGAGTGCGGCAGGCCGCCCTCGCGCTGCCGCGATACGCTGGCGTCCACCCTGATGGCCAGCTGCCGTGCGAGCCAGGCTCACGATGGGCCCGTTCTCCACCACCACCACCACCACCACCAATACCGTAAGTTGGACGGAGAGGGGGTCCTCTTCCTCCTGCTCTTCCTCCTCCTCCTCCTCCTCCTCATCCTCCTCTTCGTCCTCCTCGTCCCTCCTCCTCCTCCTCCTCCTCCTCCTCCTCCTCCTCCTGCTCTTCCTCCTCCTCCTCCTCCTCCTCCTCCTCCTTCCCCTCTCCAACGTATGGTGGTAGTGGTGGAAAACAGGCTCATCAATTCTGCCCCGTAGCCTGACTCGGGAGCCTTCTGTGGAGTGCGCCTGGGGTCGTGCCAGCCTGGCTCAAGAGCCCGAGGCGGCACCCTCCCGCCAGCTCGGCTCAGGAGCCGTCGCCGCCGGGGCGCTGGGTAAGGACCCTGCCCGATTCGGGCCCCACGTGGTCGCGCCAGCTTAGCTCTGGAGCCTCAGATGAGGGTACTGACCCTGTGCCCCCGTTCCCGCCTGCGAGGCCGAGCCCTCAACAGGACCCCATGAGATCACCGGGAATGAGCCACTCAGGAGCGACACTCAACGGTGGGACCTAACACGATGCCTAGGATTCAGGACTCCCAGAAAGCGTGGCACACAGGTGGTGCCGCCTAAGGCATATTCTACTCCCCCCACCCGCCACCCCTAGCAGCGGCGGCGGCGGCGGCGCCACCCAATTCTCGAGCTAGGAGCGGACGGGGAGGGAGAGGAAGGTATGTAACGGGTGCGTAGTCAGGGAAAGGAGGACTTTGGTTGACCGCTCCTGCCCCCATTGCGGAAGCGAGGATCGAGCTACATCAGCCGTAGTTGCGTCGATGTATTGCTCCGCTGTGCGCGCCTGCTGTCATCGTCCCAACGCCTGAGTCGCATCGTAGCTCTGGTACGTGTCGAAATTCCAGCTCGCAGCACCGCGGCGCACGCCGTACGGCGTCAGCCTGTGGTTTGAAACCGAGCCTGCCGCTGTAGTATGTAGTAAATCAGACGGGCCCCCAAAGCCTGCCAACCTCCATGCAGAATAGTTTCCTCCCGGGGCAACATGGCGAGGGCGGCTTTGAGGACCTTCATGACAGTCCTGTCGTAGACTTGTACGTGCACGTCTTCGTTCGTCCTCTTCCCTGTTTGGGTTCCTTCAAAGTTAGGACGCACATTCGCGGAACGTCAAAGGAAGCGAAATCCATGGGCCACAATTTGCGCATCTCGTTGGACCTCAACAGGCCGAGGAAACCCGTGAGAAGCCTTGACAGCCAACTGGGCGTCCAGCTTGGATTTCTGTCTGGACGTTTGGATGGGCTCAGGGAGAATCCAAAAAGCAGGGATGCTAGGTCTGTTTTGCAAATTACTGCATCCTTACTATGGATGTTGATTAAAGTTGAGACAACGGCAGCGATGCTGAGACTCAGGGAGAGGTTTAGGCCGGCCCCTCAAGACAGCGCCCGTGGGCCACACATTTCGGGCCTTGTCGCACATGCCATGGGCGTGGAGCTTGAACAGAGCATCACTCGATGTCCGCTTCCACAGCGAATCATCACAGGCAGACTCATGGAGAGGCCTGCTACCCCCTCGGCCTGGGTCAGGGGCTGCGGCGCGCAGGCCTGAGGGAGTGCTGGGACGTCCTCCAGATCCGCGCTGTCGCGAAGTAGGCCTCAAGGGGGGTCCCTCGCCGCCACGGCTGGACGCAGCTCGGAAAGCTGGTGTGACTGGACCCCCGGGAGGGGTCCAGGGATCGGGGCTCCAGAGACGGGGGTCGATGCCAACGGGTGTCAGCCAGAGCGCACGATCGTGCAGCATCCTGCTGAGGCCAGGGTCGCACCGACCCGGCTTTGGGCGCAGGATCCTGCAGGACCTCTTGCGGGATCCTCCGCAGTGGCCCGGTGTCTTGGGTGCAGGATCTTGCAGGGTCCTGCAGGATTCTGCAAGGCCTGACTGAGCCGGTCTGGATGGACCCGGGCCCGCAGATCCCCGAAGTCAAGCAGTGGCGAAGCGTCCCAGCTCGCCTATAGCCCCACCAAACAATGTTCTAAGAACCTTTTGTGGTTTCCACGAAATGCTCTTAGAACATTTCTGGCTGGGACCGTCTTGTTTTATCACATCGGGCTTATGTTCCAAGAACATTGCTCTTGTTCTGAGAACATTGTTGGGTTCTAAGAACATTTCGTGGTAGGACTACAAGAATGCTGGGACGGTCGGTCCCTGCTCAATTCAGAGTCGGGCCTGTCCCTGTACGGGGGGAATCTTCAAAATTATGTTTAATAGTCTGGGGGCGAGTTTTTGACCATGTTTGAATTTTGTTTGCGAATTTTTGGATTATCGTTTAATTTTTCGTCCCAAATCCGCCTGTAGGGGGACATGCCCGACCTAAGTGTAAGGTTGAACGCCGCTTGTGGCCCAGAATCGGCCCATCCTTGAACGATCTGGCCTCTTTGAAAGGGCCGATCGTTCAAGCTTGAACGATTTCCCCGCGGTGCCAGGAACCGACGCTGGGGTCGACACGACGCGAACTTGCCGTACCGGTGTCCGCTCGGCCTTCAGAGCTCTGGTGGTTTCGGGTTTCCCCCGGCGATTCCAGTTGCCACCAGTGGGCCCAGGGCCGCTCCGCAGGCGACGCACAGAGCATCGATTCTCCTCGGTGTGTCGTTTAATCCATGGGTCTCGGAGCCGCCCTGGGGCCCTGTGATTTCTGTCCCTGGCGTTGCGTCGTGTGCTTTGAAAGTTTGTCTTGTTGTGTTCCGGTTCGTTCCTTGAGCCCGCCACTTAGATTGGCGGCCTCCGAGTTTAGTTTTGTCGAGTGCCGAAGAGTGGCCCTGCCCCATGGATATCTCCGTTCTGGGATCGCAGTGGCACACCTGAGCCCCCCCCACCGTGCGAATGCACCGCTGACATAGCACACTCTAGGCACTTGAGCTGAATTACTGGTGTCAGATTTTCACACAGGTCAGACTCGTGCACCTGCAGAGCTCCGCCGCCGCCGCCCCCCTTTTCCTGCAGCCGCGCCGAGGTAGAGAAGTTGCTGATCGTGACCTCGCCCAGTGGGCAGACGCAGTGCGAGGACGCCACCGCTGTCTCCGCCACCGCCGCCGCAGCCGTCGTCGGCGCCGTCGTCTCTGGTCCGCCCTTTGTCGTTGTGGGCCCTTGCTCCATCCGCCCCTCTCTGGGCCGCAGCTCTCGGGGCGCCCAAGAGGGGAGTGGTGACTGGAGGAGGGGGAACATCAAGGCTGGGTCCACGGTATCTGTCCAGATTTCGTGGGCCTTTTTTGTCTCATTTCGGCACGCCCCTTGCCCCCCGCGCCCCCCCCTAAGGCCGCGCATGAGTTTCGAGAAATGATTTGCGACCCCCCCTCTTGAACTCAGGCAGGCCTAGGAGAGGGATCAATCGTTCAAACGCGTGCGGAGCGGTCCGAGGAATCCGCGGCGCCCAATACATTTTACAGAGCCGCCAGATCTCAGAGATCCTGCGGGCGAGGGGGAGTGGGCCGCAGAGTGGATCGCGCGTGAGTCGCGGGGTGGACTGTGGGTCGGTCGCAGGTAGGTCGCGGGGAGACGACGGCAACATCAACAAGCAATGAACAGGCAGAAGCACCCGGGGATGGCGCAGTACCGCTCGGCCCTCTCACTCTTGCCGATGCCGCTGCCCTGCCTGGCGTTCGCCTTTGTTGGGGGCTTCCGTGGAGGCCCTCGCTCATCGCCACGGCTAGCTGCAAGGAGGAAAGACTGGTCTACTCTGTAAGAACGGTTTTTTGAAGGCAGATCTGCCTTCAAAAAATGGTCTATTCTGTAAGAACGGTTTTTTGAAGGCAGATCTGCCTTCAAAAAAACTATTCTCTTCGAATTTCTAGTCGGAGCGCACCCCGGGAGAAGGGTGTCGGCCATTTCCTGTCTTCCTCAGGAGATGAAGCAGTGGTAAGGCGGCTTGGTTTGCCTACAGGCCCACCAAGGAGTGTTTTGAGAACTTGTTGTGGTTTGCACGACGTGTTCTTAGAACAGGTCTGAGACCGTTTTCGTTGAACACATCGGCGCTCCGGTCTCAGAACCTTGTTTTTGGTGTTCGACTTTTCTTATTTGTGCTGAGGACGTGTCGTGGTAGGCCTATAGGAATGCCAGGGCGGTCGGTCCTTGTACAAGGGCAGACCCTTGCTTGCGCCTTGCGGTGCCGCCCTCCGTAGTGGGAGCCCTCGCCCAACCTACCCCCGCCTCGGGGCCCGTTCCGATCCGAACGATCTGATTTTCGATCTCGAGCTCGACGTGGTCGATATTCTAGGCCGCCCAGATTGGGTCCGAGTAGTGAGGGTCGGAGGATCGCGCCGCAACGGCGATGCATCAGCGATGCGGCTCGAGGTGGAGCCCGATGTTCTCCACGCCGATGTCGCCGATGCATCGCCGAAGTCGCCAGTGCATCGCCCATGCATCGGCGATACATCGGCGATTCGATGCAATCCCCCGACGCCACCTGCTCTGACCCCAGCTAGGAGGCCTCTAGAGATCCCAATCGTTCAGGAAAGAGACGGCAGAAGCCTAAACGTTCGGAGCTCCGCGCGGACTTCTTGGGTCTGCGTTGTGCCCTGGTGGCGGCGCCTCCTGCGCCCCCCCTGGCCACCTCCGCGCGCCAGGGAGGTGGGTCCGGCGCCGATCGAACACATTTGTTGATTCGCGGGTCGAGAGCGCACCTCTTGCGGTCGAAGCTAAGCGGGCCGCGCGAAGCTTGAATTAATCAGAGATGGGGGAGGAAAAGGGGGGCGCAGCCTCAGAACGAGGCCGGGAGGAGGCAAAGCCTTGGAATCAGGCGGTGCCGAAGCCGATGTATTTGCAAAGGAGCGCCTTCTCCATGAACCCGGTGGCGCGCCGATCGAACACATTCGCACGGACCCTCGAGCGAACGAACGAACGAACGAGCCATACGCCAACAGGCGCGTGGACTGGACAGGAGCGTGTTTCTAGCAATCTTCGGTGCGGGATCGACCTTAAAATCGCGGGCAGCAACACAATTAAGGACATGATGTACGGGAGGAGGGGAAGAGGAGGCGACCAGGCGATTGTCATGCATAGTGTTGCGTGCGTTTCTTGCCAGGGCGGACCTTCGAAAGTATATGCTTGTGCCGTTTCTTGTTTCTCTGTGCGATCCGATGCAGGCCGATTCCTGCAGAGCGCTGCTGTGAATCCTGGCGCGGCCGATCCGAGCCGATTCCGACCCCGTGCCGATGCGCCCCCGATTCGATGATGGCTGATCTTGCCCCTCCTCTTCCTTTCCCCTCACCCCTGCGCGGGGAGGTTGGTGCAGTCAGGGCCAGGGCGCCACATGGCGCCAGCGGCCCCCTTTGCCACGAGGGGGCCATAGCCAGGCCATACTAGACTTCTGAACGCAGCTCAGCTCCAGTCGAGGGGGAGTAGCACCGAGCTGACCCGGTAGCTCGATCGATCGATCCGTTCCCCCTCCCCCATTCCCCGTCGGGGCCGTGGACGCGGGCGCCGCCTACCGCGCCTTTGGCCGCGGACGCAGTGCAGGGCCGACGGGGGCAACGACGGAGCGGTCGGGGGCGGCAGCACGGCTAGCGCCAGCGCCCTGCGTGACGCTTCGTGCCCGCGCCTTGGCATCGCTCGGGCGTGTGTGTTTTTTGTTTCTCCCTCGGCGAGGGCCCTCGAGGAGCAGAGCATCTCGGATCGACTTTGAAAGATAGGCGCACGACATGGAGCCAGACACGGGGATTGGACGTCCGAGTGACGGCAACGCGCGGGTTTTGCCAAATCCGTCCCCCCCATCCTCAGTTCCCGGTCTCTTCTCCCCCTCCCTGCTGCCCCCTCCTCCCTCCGATCCCCCCCGCCTTCCCTGACGGGCCCCCCAGAGTCCCAGAAGCATCTGAAGTGGAGCAGGGAGGGGGGGTGCGTGGAGGAGGCAAAGTGGGGACGGGTGACAAGAGAGGGGAGGGGTGGTGGGCGGAGGGGGAGGGTCCGCAAGGTAGGGCGCGGATGTGGTGCCCCTTTCTCCTCCCACATTACCGGCGGGCTCTTCATCCTGAGTCGTTTGTGTTGGTAGTCCCCAAACGTGGTGGTGACAACACCTGGCGGTGAGTCTCGGGCGATTTGGTGTCACCACCCGGTTTGGGGACTCGTGCGGTTTTCCGAGGATGTCCCGGACACTGGTGGGTCCAGGAGTCACAAAACCCGGTGGTGACCCCGCGTCCCCAAACCCAGCGGTGACCTTTTTGGGGATTCCAGGTCGCCACCTGGTATCTCACCACCCGGTTTGGGGGTTCCCAATTGTGGACGGCCCCGCAGCCTGGGAAAGGTCGGACTGGGCTGGGACGAGGATAAATCCGTTCAGAGCGTTCCGAAACGCTCTCAGAGCGTTCCGGAACGCTCTGAGAGGATGAGGAGGAGGAGGAGGAGGAGGAGGAGGAGGAGGAGGAGAGGAGGAGGAGGAGGGAGGGAGGAGGAGGGGAGGAGGAGGAGGCTAGGAGGAGAGGAGGAGGAGGAGGAGGACGGGGCTAGGACTAGGATAAATCCGTTCAGAGCGTTCCGGAACGTTTTCAAAGCGTTCTGGAACGTTCTTCGGCGACCTTTGGGAAGGCCGCGGCGCCCGAGACGTCCTCCAGATCCGCCAGATCTCGGAGATCCTCCATTCATCCTTTCCCGATTTTCTCCTCGCCCTGGTTTCGTTATGAAGGGCCCTGTAGCGGCCAAAGTGGACCACAGCTCGAAGAACACAGGTGCCGCGCGGAGCGCGGAGTTCTTGGATCTGCGCTGGGCCCTCCCTGGCGCGCGGACCTCGTCAGGGGCGGCGCCGAGGGGACCGCCAGGGGGGCTCCAGCGCAGACCCAACACGTCCGCGCAGACCTCCAGAAGTGTATGCTTTGTGCCGTGTTTTTGTCTGTCCCCCTTCTGACAATTTCCGTGGTGATTTTGATCCCCGCGCGAGTGGTCCGCTGAGCTGTCTGTGGGTGGCTGTGCCCCGCGGGGTGGCGCCCCCCCCGCGCCGTTTGCCAGCACCCCGCAGGGCCTGGTGGGCCATCGGCGCCGGTGTGGGGGCGCTGTGCTTCGGGACTCGGCCCTGCGTCGCAGGCCGCAGCCTGGAGGAGGAGATGGCCCTTTCACCAGGCGGCAGGGCCTCTCTGAAGGTCTCCTGCCTTCTGAGAAGTTTACCGCGTCTTCGGGGAAGGCCTTCTCAGAAGGCCCGAGGCCTTCTGAGAAGGCCCACCCCACTCTCACTTCCCCCCCATGCTCGCCGCCGAGAGAAGAGGGAGGGCCGGATCGGTGACCCGCGAGGGGAAGGTATGCTATTCATGTAATGAAGTCAATGTTAGTGAGAATGGATCCGTGAGTGGATCAATCAAGAATGGCAATCTTGAGGCTATGATGCCTCGTTTGATGTTCGAGCCGACTGTGATGCCCGCTCGTTCCCCCCCCCCCCCTTCCCGTCGCCGGTGCCTACGCATCCTCCTATGATGGTGGGATGGGGCGATGGTACACCTTCCCCGGCACTGCACGCACCGTGGCGGGTTCGTAGGGACTCTGATGAAGCCCATGAATGTTCCCTCGCTCCCCTCCCAGTCCCGCGCACAATCTTGCCCAGCATGGCATGCCCGGTCTGCAGGCGGGGAGCACATCTAGACGTGGCTCCGAGCGGAGGGTGGTCTTCACGATCTTGCAGCGGTGGTGAGGCAACGAGCCCGAGTACTGAAAGCTACGGTGTCCGCGGGCCATCCCCAGAAGCCTGCCGGAGGGCTCCTCAGAGCTCTGCGAAGGCCGCCAGATGACACCGAAGGGCCCCTGGAGGCCGCCGACGGCCACCAGGGACCTCCAAAGTCCGACGACGACGACGACGACGACGACGAGACGTCGGCGTCTGCCCGCAGCGGGCGCCCGCCGCGGGGTTGTGGGGGGGCTGGGCCGCGGCGCGGCGAGGGCACCTACGCCATCCAGGAGCACGTCCCAGCCAACGGGAAGCCCACGTGGAAGAAGAACGGCACAGGCTCCTCCTCCGCCGCCTCTGCCGCCTCCTTCTCGGCCTCCTCCTCCGCCTCGTCCACCTCCTCCTCCGCCTCCTCCTCCGCCTCCGCCTCCTCCTCTTCCGCTTCCGCCTCCTCCTCGTCCTTGGCCTCCTCCTCCGCCTCCGCCTCTTCCGTCTCCTCCTCCGCCTCCTCCGCCTTCGCTTCCGCCTCCTTGCTGACGTTGAGCGCACTTTCACCCTCAGATTGTAGCGTCAGAGGGAAAGCATCTCATGGAAGTTCCGACGTAGGCCAAGGGGCCAACAAATCAAGCCTGGCAGGCGTAGCAGAAAAAGTATGGGCAGCAGAGATTTGGGTACGGAGAATATGTTCATGAGGGGACAGAGTATACGCCAGCCAAATAGTTCAGGAGTGGGGGATGATACTATCAAACAAGAAACGATGCACATAGTCATAAGGGAGGGAGGAAGGAATGAAGGAAGGAGTATACCGTATTGAGTGAACGAAACACGCGTGCAAGTAAGTAGAATGGAAATTCAGTGCAAAGGCTAGCCTGCATAGGTCGCCCTAAGCTTAGGCAGGCGCAGAGTGCTATTCCCCCCGCCCCACCAAGCTATAACCTCGCAACCCGCCCTCTGTAGCAATGTGGGCAAGCGGATCGCCTCACATGTAGAGTGTTTGGCACAGACGTTAGTGGCTGACCAAACTACCTAGAAGTTCTTGGCATGCTGCACACATTGAAACAGGTTTGAACGAACACGAAATGCGGCAGGTCTTGGGATGCTCAGACCCCTGGCTACGTGCTTGAAGCTTAGCTCTGGCCTTCAACACGCTCGCAGCGGTCGACACGCACGTCCTCCTCCTCCTCTTCCAGGTCCACTCGTGCTCCCCCCCACCCCTCCATCAAGGCCCTCCTCGAGGGCAGTCGCAGCTGCTATAAGAAACTGTCGCATCGGTATGCTACAATGCTCTAAACATTCGTCCAAAATGGCAGGGCCAATGTGACGATGCCCTGGTAGCAAGGATGGGCCAATGTGAAGATGCCCGTGTCTTGCGCAGTGCTAGTGTTTCACAACCGGTCGGGCCTGTGTAAATATGCCCGTGATATTGCCCGATTTGATCCTCTTATCAGAAGCCCCTCCTCCTCTTCCGAAGTGTCCACGCGGCACTTCTGCCGTAACGTCGCTGGCTAGTGGAACGCATATGGATCTTAAGTACGAAGACGCGACACTGGGTACGCGAATTGTGAAGTACATGAGGTACACTGGCGGCGTGTTTGCTACGCGGTCCAGCTCAGAGTTGCTGCCGCAAGCAAGTCAGAGACGCACTGCTACCTCCAGTGTGGCTTCCTCTCCTTCTGCACCTCTCCCCACACTTCACAGCCCCCTCCGCCGCCACGCACTAGTTTCAGTGCTTTTTCCACGGGTGTGAGCCTGGAGGCATCGGTGTTCGCGAACCGCCTGGGGCTCCTGAGGCACGCGGGCGACACGCTTGCAATGCGGACCGGCTCTGTGCTGCCGCCGCCTGCACAATAGGAACATGCCCCTGCCTCCAGGAGCGTTTCACCTCCACCACCCCACCTCTCCACCTCCTCCTCCTCCTCCTCTCGGGCCAGACGAAGGGGGGGGCATTGGGAGAGGGGGGGTTACGAAGTCTGCTGCATCGGGGCCCCGCGGCTGCCGCGCCGGCCTCCTAGCCGAGAAAAAAAAAGAAGTCTGCTGCATGCAGCTGGTCTCGGCCCCACCGAGGGGCCCATTCCTCGACACATATGGCCGCCTCCCGGCGCCGGGAGGCGCCGGGAAAATCAGCCACGTGAGTTCATTCTCAGACCCCCCTCTTTGCTATTCCAAGCCAGCCACAACTGGGGGAGCTGTGGTCCTTACCCCCCTGGGGGACCCATCGGTTTCGACACCCCTCTCGAGAGATCGTCGATGCGATTGGCTCCCCCAGGGGGGTAAGGACCACAGCTCCCCCAGTTATGGCTGGTCGGGATCCCCCCCTCTCGCCCGGCCCGATCCTCCCCGAGCGTGGCGCGTCGGAGGCCGGCCTCGCTCGGCGCGTCGACGGGCGCGGCCCGGGCACGCACGCTCCTCGAGGCCGATCACTGCCTCCCTGTGTAGGCCGGCGCGGGCCATTCGGCGAGCTCGCGATGGACGTGGTGCTCCCACTCCTTCGCTTGGCATCGCTCGGACGTGTGGATTTTTCCTTCGGCGAGGACCATCGAGGAGCATCCTTGATCATTTGGCGAAAAGCCACGCACGAAACCGAAAAAAGCACAGGGAATGGACGTCCGAGCGATGGCGAGTTCAGGGGTTGACAGACCTCCGACCCTGATGCGTCGATTAAGGAATTGGCCGTCTTCCGTTCGCGAGAGGGCGTCGCGGCCGTCATTTTTGCGGGTCCAGGTCCGTGGGTTTCGGTCCCAGGCCGTTTTCACTAAAGGGAGGTTTATTAAAGGGAGGTTTGTCCACCGCCGACTCCTCCGGTCCTCACAACCACAACCTACCGCCACCCAATAACTCCGAACAAAGGATCACCAGCACTGCCGAAGAATAGTTGCAGCCGAGGTCGTCCTACGACTGCTTAGTATCGCGTGTACGTGCGAGGTGTAATGCTTCGCGTGGCATCTGAGTCCAAAGCGCCGCCTCCCCAGACCAACCCCAATCCTCGGCTCATCCAGACCTACCTACTACACCTCGGGCAACACAAGCGGTGGCAAAAAGCAACAGCCTGCACGCCAATCATCACCGAGCGCGTTCCACTGCTCGCAAAGTGTCTGCTCGCAAACGCCCGAAAAACACACGTCTGCATCGACGTGATGTAGCGCAAGTCCCCCTCGACGGCTCCAGGCCACTTGCGAGCAGTTGCTTTGCGAGCAGTGGAGCGCGCTTGTCTAAATCGATTGAGAGATGGCGACTCCATGGTCTGCCCTGGTGGCCAGGTGCCTCCAGGGCGCACTACGGCTCAGTCCACAGCAGGTTGCAGAGGAAGCAACAGGGCGCTCGCAATGATCGCCGCCTGTTCCTCCTCCTCCTTCTCGACCAGTCCTTTCCCTCCACACGTCTCGAGAATCGTGACTGATGGCAAAAGGAAGTGGCCTCCCGCATACACGCAAAACAGCTGAGAGATGCCGACACCATGGTCTGTCCCTGTGGCCACGTGCCTCAAGGGCCCACCACCACCACGCCGAAGGAACATGGAGGCGGAGTAGACTGAGGGGGGCTACACTCAGCCGCTCCTCATCTCGGGCGCCGTTGCGCTGGAACATACATCACAAACATCCACCTGCTCGGTCCACAACAGGTTGCAAGGTAAGCAACCGAGCGCCCGCAATGAATGCCATCTCCTCCACCCCTCATCCTTCATACTTCCTCCACTCAAGACTGAAGGCAGAAAGAACCAGCATCAAGACTGAAGGCAGAAAGAACCGGCCTATCATACACGCAACAAAAATAAGAGTTGCCGACTCCATAGCCTGCCCCGGTGGCCACGTGCCTCAAGGGCCCACCGCTAAAGCATTTACGCCTCCTCCTCCTCCTCCTCCACTCCTTGTCCTCATCAATAACTTCTCCCTGTTGCACCCCGAGGCCAGTTGTTAGGGTTGGCCAGGCGTTTCGCCTGAAACTTCCTCACCATGTTTTGCTTCTGAAGCTTAAACATTGTGGCAACAGTTTTACAGATGGAGGGCGGGTCGTTTTCAAAACGTGGCTCTCGCCTTAGCGCCGCGCATGTGAGTTTTGAAGCAGTGCAGAGGTTTCACGGATTGCAGGCGAATCGTTTCCAAAATGCGGTTCTCGCCATAGCGCCGCGCTGATTCGTTTTAAACATACGAAAGGGTTTCACGGATTGAGGGTGGTTTCTTTTCAATATGTGGCTCTCGCCATAGTGTCGCGCACATTTGTTTACAACATTTGCAAGAGTTTTGCGGATTCCCATGATCAGCGTGCCAGAAATAATGTCCTCCTCCTCCTCCGCCTCCTCCTGCGCTCAGTATCTTTTAACGGACCCCCATCCCCATCCCATCCTCCTCCCCTTCGAGACCCCCACCAAATTATCACCCCAGTTGGGAATACACCCTTCGAAACCCGAAGGGGACGGCCTATATCCCCATCTGGGGGGTATATCTGCCAGAGGGGCCCAGGCCACGCCGCTGGGGATGGGGATCGGTTAAACGATGCTCATCCTCCTCCCCTGCCGATCTGGGCACGGCCAAAACTGATTTGTTGGCAGTTTCCTCGGCCGTGTTCGTTCTCGTTTTGTTTTGCGCCAGCGGCGGAACGCAGCGAGGAGCGAGGGAGATCGGGCACGAGACGAAGCCAGAACATGGTGTTTGGGTCGAGCCCCTCTTGCCGATGTTGCTCTGGCCGCTGCGTGCACCGCAGATCCCCCGCAGGCCTCTTCTCTTGACGGCCACATGATGGGTTGAACTGCACATGTGGATGCAAGCTGCGCAAGATACGATACAGTGAACACCCACGCCAAGAAACAACCTGCGTGCCTCCAGGGTGCCCTTGGTTTCTTGTGTTTTGATGGTTTTGCTATGGTAAGCGTGACGTGCCCACACCCAAAATCTATGGACGTCTTTGGGTCTCAGGGTTGGGTCTCTTGTTGAAGGTTTCTTGTTGTCGAGTTCCTACTGTACGATAACCGTTTGGCAGCATCGTTCTCGTTTTGGCTCCGATGCAGCAGAGGCCCTCCCTTCCATTCCTCCCTCCCCCAGGGATCAGGGGCAACGTTTATCGCCATCACCCCAACATACTTCTACTATGTGTGCGTCGCCCCCCCAGGGGCGACGCCCGCACCGATAAGTCTTATAGTATATGTGTAGTGGCGGGCGCGTTCTGGCCACACCGCTCGGGAAACGATGTACTACAAGATGGGTATACTATATGTTCGGGTCGGGCGCGCGTCTGCAAGGAGGAGATCTAGTATTAGCCTGTCTCTGTGCGTCCCAGTTGAGGGAGGTGATAGGCTCAGGGAGGGGGCACATCGACCCCCCGTCGCCCATGCTCCTCCTCCTCCTCCTCCTCCTCCTCCTCCTCCACCTCCTACTGGCGATCGGGGCCCAATGGCCCACCCCGCCCGGGAACGTGCGGGCTCGCCATCGGGGGCCCGGGGTCAGAGTCCACAGAGTGCGTTGTTCTCTCAAGACTGCCCCTTGCATCCCTGCTCCATCGGCCCATCCTGAGCCAACGTCGACTTCCAACGAGCTCGCAACTGTGAACGAGACTTCCCAGGCTCTTACGTCCTCACCCTGAAGCCTTACTGTGGATTTTGGTGATACCGCCGATATATGGGAAATGTATCGCCGATTCCAGCTCGATGGTCCCCCCCCTCCATTGAGCCAGTCCCCGTTATACTCATAGGCGAAAATATGTACGTATCCGTGGCTTCGCGGGCCGGGTCCCTCCCGCATCCACGGGATCGCTCCGCCCGCGGAATCCAGACCGCGAGGGCGCGGATACGGATACGTTCGCCCTTCGTGACCAGCTGTTCTCCTCGAGGGAGGGCGGAGGGAGGCAGCCTCCGCGCCCTCGGCGGCCTCGCCCGCGGAGGGGTCGGCTGTGAAGAAGCGCGCGCCTTCTCCCCAAGACGGGTGCTATCATTGAGAGGAGCCACCACTGACGATCGAAGAAACATCGCCACAACACACAAACTTTTGGCGCTCCGCGCGGATCTCTTGGATCTGCGCGGGGCCCCCCTGGCGCCGCCTCCGGCGCTGCCCCTGGCGCGGGCCCAGCGCAGATCCGAGACATCCGCACGGAGTGCCAAAAGTTTAAGTTTCTCCGGAGGGGAAAACACACACACAGACGCAATGAATCGTCTTCCCCCGAAAATATGGGAAAATATGGGAAGTGCGGGGGAAGACAAAAACCTAGAAAATATGGTAATGGGGAATTTCGTTATGTGTGTCTATTTGTTTGTGTGTCCCAAGGCCCCTTCATACTCAGCCTGAGTACGAGTGGGGCGTGTCCAGGCTCGAGTGCATCTGAAAGCCAGGCAGTCGGGCGGTGCGGTGGTCTGGGCACGAGCGGGCCTGAGTGCAAGTCTGTCGCGTCGGGAGGGGCTCTGAGAGGCAGATCGCGCCGGGTGTGAGTGAGTGAGGGTCTGAATCTAGGAGTGAGCCTGTACGTGGAGGGAGGATGGAGACGGAGGAGGCCTCGCACTAGTACATGTAATGCTACACTTCAGAGATGGGGGGGGAAGGACATCGCGACTGCAGGTCGGTCCGCCCGTTTCGGCCTTAGGAGGACCCTTCTTAGGCCCTGGGACCGTCAACAATGCTTACGGATAATTAACATCGCGGCCCAAGGGAAGGAGTCGACGGCCCTTGGGCCACGCCACGAGAAAACAGCAGCTCAGGACAAGGGCCTCACCATCCTCCGAGCGCGGGTCTGTGGCCGACCCCGCGGATTTCTCCTGTGGCGCGCTTCCACATGAGTTTCGCCCTTGAGTGGGTTCGCAATTCCTTTCCAATCGACTTGGGAGCGCGCCAGATACACAAAGCGTTGGAGTAACGATCACTTCGGATTCGGAAGGGTCTCGGGGTTCCTAAGGTATTTCCTCGGGCTGTCCTTGTGCGAGCACCTATGCGGGACACGGGCCAAAATAGTGGATTCGTTTTTTTGTTTCAGATGTCAGGGCGTGGGTTGTGAAGCGACGTAGATCGACTTCAGCAGCATCCAGACCAATCTGGAAGGTATTCAGATCAACGTCTAGAAGAATCGGGAGGTTATCATATCCAAGAGGATCAGGATAGTTCGCGGAACGTTAGCAATGCGGACACTAGAGGTCATTCACCCTGCCACGATCCCGAGGCGGAACTCACCGGGGCGACGAGAGCCTTCTGGGAAGCCCCGAACAGGCAGTTGCGTCGAAGGCCCGCGCCGATCGGCGAAACATGTTGTAAAAACATCTTCCAGGGGGTCCTCCCTCCTCCTCCTCCTCCTCCTCCTCCTCCTCCTCCTCCTCCTCCTCCTCCTCCTCCTCCTCCTCCTCCTCCTCCTCCTCCTCCTCCTCCTCCTCCTCCTCCTCCTCCTCCCCCTCCTCCTCCTCCTCCTCCTCCTCCTCCTCCTCCTCCTCCTCCTCCTCCTCCTCCTCCTCCTCCTCCTTCCCCCCTGCCTCTCGCCACCCCTCCTCCCCCGGCACCCCGAGGTCAGCCGCAGGCACGCGGAGGGCCCCCCAAACGCGGGAAGCACCTCCATCCTCGAAGCCCGAGCTTGCGTCCCCTCTCGCCTGTCCCTCCGCTGTCGCACCGGCTCGCTGCTCTCCACGCGAGCGCCGCCCTGGTACGAGGAGGAGGAGGAGGAGGAGGAGGAGGAGGAGGAGGAGGAGGAGGAGGAGAAGGACGAGGAGGAGGAGAAGGAGGAGGACGCGCGGACGAGGAGGACGAGGCGGAGGAGGAGGAGGACGCCGCCCCCGGCTGTAGCATCGTGCAGCCGCGTAGCATCCCACGCGCCCCCTGCACGGCTGCCGCGCACCCCCCCCCCCCGTCGCAGCGGTGGTCGCTCGGCTGCCCCGCGCCCCTCCATTGCCGCATCGAGTCGCGGAGCTCCAGGAGCCTCAGTAGTGTTTGACCGATCCCGATCCTTCAGTCGGGCACGTCCATCTACAGGGGGAATATTCAAACGTAGTTATTTGTTTCTCCTATGTTTGGCAATGTTTGTTTTTTTGACTATCTTTAATTTTTCGTCCCAAATCCGCCTGTAGGGGGACAGGCCCGACCTAACCCTATCCCATCCCCATCCCGATCCCCACCATCCCACCACCCCAGTTGGGGATATGCCCCTCGAAGCCCGAAGGAAGCCGCCTGTATCCCCATCTCGGGGGTAGATCGGCCAGTGGGGCCCAGGCCACGCCAGTGGGGTAGTGATCGGTTAAACGATGGTCAAGGAGACCGCTTTTGCATCCCCTGGCGATGACGGGCGTGACCAGGGGGGGGGGGAAGGGGGAGGGGCTGGTCACGTCACGACTCGCGCTTGCGCCGTCTGGGAATGCAGGGCTGGCTGATTCCCAGGCGGCGCCGGCGCGAAGCGTGACGCGACCCAGGGTGGGGGGGGGGAGGGGGGGGGGGGGGGGGGGGAGGGGGGGGGGGGGGGGGGAGGGGGGGGGGGGGAGGGGGGGGGAGGGGGGGGGGAGGCGGGGGCCGGTCAAGGGCGTCATCACGAGGAGCTCCACGGAGCTCAGCGAGTGCCCCCCCGCCCTCTGGGCGCTGCCGAGCCGCCCGCGAGCGCGCAGGAGTCCCGAGGACACTCTATTTCAGCAACACCGGGACGTGGATGATCGACAACAACGACGCCCTGAAGGCTCTCGGGGGCTGGGAGGCAAGGGGCCAGGGACTGGGGGGGCGACGCGAGGAAGGAGGAGGCCACTGCGACCCTGGCGCTGCATTCTGTCGCGCCATGCGTTTTCGGCTGGTTTCGGGCCTGGGGTCAATCGAGTAGCAGTATCGGTCCCTGTTGGCCTTCCCCCAGGACGACTTCGTCCTGGGACCGTCAAAGAACGACCCAGGACGAAGTCGTTCTGGGGGAATGCCCCGGGTTTCCCTGAGGACCCGTGCCCCCCTGTGCTAAGTTGCCCATTTATCTTTCTTGTGCCCGTCACAAGGTTTGGCATTCAGCGCGCCTTGGTTAGCTGCTCGTGCTGCGAGCCGCGAGCTGTGGAATATCGAGCAAATCTCTCCCAGAGGGCCGCCGCATCTCTCCCCACGGGCTGCGGCCAGATCTTCTCCCTTCTTGTTCGTTGCCCCAGCTTGCCCTCAGCGCCACACAAAAAAAGCGGGCCCCGTCCCCCCGCCCCGTCCGCCCGCTCTGGTGAGGCGGGCTTCGATTGCGCCATCGGCTACATCCACGCGCCCCTGGACAAGGCCGGCTCGCGGGAGCACCCGCCCACGGGATCGCGCGGATGGGTCCTTACCAAGGTGGGGTGTGTGAGAAATTGTGTTCGCGTCATCGATTGTCATCCCTTGTTCGCTACCATCGGTCCGCTGTGAAGAAAAAGGTTGGGGCTGTTCGGTCAACATGAAGACATGATCGACCCACAAACCAGAAGGGGATTGAGAACTGCGAGGCATAGAACCGCTTCAAAGGACCTCAATTGCATATGCAATTGGGCGATGCCAGGGGGACGCGCCGTGGAACGTCCCAAGGGACGCGCCAGAGGACGTGCCAAAGGACGTGCCATGGGGACGCACCGAGGGACGTGCCAAGGGGACGCGCTACGGCCACGATCACTGATAAGTTATGCTGCGCCCGCTACCCCGCGGCCACGATCCCACGTAAAGTACGCTGCGTCCGCGCTCCCACTACCACGATCCCATCGTCAAATACGCTGGATTCGCACTCACCCCTTGGTTAATTACGTAGATATGTCGAAGGTACTCTTAAGGTACGCCGGACACACATGTTGAAGGTACGCCGAAGGAACGAGGAAGGTACGAGGTCCCTGTTTGATTTGAACTAGAAACGTTACCGAAGGTATGCCGAAGGTACGCGTGTCCAAACCCCCGCTCCCGCAGGCCATCGCTCCCCCAGACCCAGCGGATCAGGAAGAGGCCACACGCGACGGACCCAGAAGCGAGCACATTACAGCGGGGCCCCGCTCCTGGGACAGCTTTTCTTGTGCTTCTGCTGCAAAACACGCGGCTCGCCTCCCCCCGCCCACCCCTCCCCCCAGGCACCACGGAAGCAGAAACGGGCAAAGCCTGGCGGACCCATGAACGAAGCCATTACGACAGGACCGCGCTCCCAAGGACACGATCTCTCGTACATTACGTTGCGTCCCCGCTCCAAGGGCCACGATCCCTTGTAAATGACGCTGCGTCCGCTCTCCCCGATCCACGATCCATTGTAAATCACGTGGCGTCTGCGCTCGCAGTGCCGCGATCCCTCGTACAGTACGCGGTGGTCACGCTCTCAAGGCGACGGTCCCTCGAATTCGCGCTCCCAGTGTAAAGATCCATAGGGAATTACACAGGATTCGCGCTCCAGTGCTACGTTCCCTCGTAAATTACAGTGGGTTCGCGCTCCGAGGGCAGGGATCCCTTGTAAATTACGTTGGGCTCGCGCTCTCAGGGCCACGATCCCTTGTAAATTACGCTGCGTCCGCGTCACCAGGGATACGATCCCTCGTCAATTACGCTGTGTCCGCGCCCCCAGGGGCAGGATCCCTGATACATTACGCTCTGTCTGCCCCTCCAGGGCCAGGATCCCGTGTGAATTGCACTGCGTCCGCGCTCCCAGGGCCACGATCCCTTGTAAGTTACGCTTCGTCCGCTCTCCCCTGGCCGCGATCCCTCGTGACCTACCCTGCGTCCGCGCTCCCAGGGCCGCGCTCCCTGGTGAATTACGTTGCTTCCGTGCTCCCAGGGCCACGTTCTCCAGTACATTACACAGTGTTCGGGCTCCCAAAACCACATGTGCATCCTGGGGCGCCCAGGCCGCTCAAGTTCTGCAAAGCAAGCGTTTCGCACGAAACATCCTCAGACAGTCGGCGCGCAGGGCGCGCCATTCTCGAGCGGGCACGCAAACAAATTACTTGTTGCTTCCATCTTCTGGTAAGTTGCAAGGCCTCCAGGCCTTGAGTTTTATCGCGGATTCTGCTCAACAGCGCTCCGCAATGGATCGAGGACCCGGGGTAGGGGACACAATGGCAGAAGAGCATTTAAAAATAGTAAGACTTTACGTCGCTATTTGTCGCAACTCGTTCCGCCGGCCGCGCAGGGCGCGCCATCCTCGAGCGGGCACGCAAAAGGTCGATGCTTTATCTTTTGATGAATTCCAAGGCCTCCGGACCTCGTGTTACATCACGGGTTCTTCGCAGCATCCCGTCTTTCCACCAGGGAAAGCGTGCGTCTGCGGACCCAGTTCTTTATCGAGGATCACAGATCGGGAGGCACATTTTCCAAGAGCGGGCGCACGCGATTTGTTTGCATTTCTGCAAAAAGAAAGAAAACATAAACTTCGTTCTGTACCACGAATCATTCTGCCAGCCCGCTTCAAGTCGATTCCTAGGGTAAGCAGCTAAGAGAGAACCCTGGCACCATGCCCTTTCCAGGACAAATTAAAGGCACCCCATGTATCATAAGTTCTCCCACCCAGAAGCCTCCCTAGAATTCCTTGACAAGCCAGGTCCAAGAAGCCGCCCGCCCTCTCAGAAGGAAGCCGCAACCCTCGCCTCACCCCCTTCCCCTGAAAAGCGGCGTCGTGAAAAGTGCAACATCGCGGGCAATTGCGACCAGAGCTCAGACAACATTCCTCCGCGACACTCTCGAGTCTGATCGATACGTGAGGGCCCCGGGGCCCCGAAGCTGGTCGAAAACGCACAGGGTGAACGAAAGTGCGGCTCCCGGATCTCAGGGTTTCTGTTCGTGGCTCGACTCGAACGGGGGTTGGCAATTATCTGCGCTCTTTTCCCAGGCCGCCGACGTCGTGGTTGTTCCACGACCGGCGGCTTCGGAGCCCTCGCGCCGCCGCGACCGGCTTGTGATCTTTTGTTTATTCATTGTTTTGCCGATCGGCGCGGGCCCTCGCCCCCCCTCCCCCCCCGTGGAGTAGATCTTGGCTGCTGGCTGCTTTTGGCGCCTGTTTCGAGCAGGTGGAGCCTGCCCCATATTGGACACCCTGTTGAAAACAGTCGCGCTAAGCAGAGGTCGAGAAGCCAGACCCCCCCCTTCCCCTCCCCCCCCCCTTCCGCTCCAGGCCTCCCAGATGGGGTCGGAGTAGATGGGGTCGGAGGATTGCGCCACCTCGCTGATGCACCGCCGATGCGGCCCGACGTGGAGCCCGACTTGCCTCACGCCGACGTCGACGATGCATCGCCGTCGTCGACGATGCATCGCCGTCATCGTCGATGCATCGCCGATGCATCGGCGATGCGGCGCGATCCTCCGACCTCCATCCACTCCGACCCCCATCGAGGAGGCCTCTGTCCGCCCAGAAGTGTCGGTCCCGCGGGCGGGCCCCCCCCTCGGGGCCCGCGGGCGGCCCCACCCTGGCGCCGGGGCAGGGCGGTGGCCACGCGGCTCGTCGGGGGCGGGTCCCACGGAGCATGGTGATGTGTTTTGATTCGCTGTCTTGCCGATCGGCGCGCCCCCCCCCCCCTTACGGGTGCATCTTTGCCTAGGTGGCTTCTGTGCTTTCCTGCTTTCTCATCGGAATCTAATTCGAATCCAGTTCGAGAGAGAGAGAGACGGGCAGAGAGAGAGAGAGAGAGACGGAGGGAGAGGGAGAGGGAGAGAGGGACAGTGGAAAGGGACGATAAAGCAGGAAAATACAGAAGCCACCTAGGCAAAGATACCACCCTTACCCCCCCTCGCCCCCCTCCATGGCGTAGATCTTGTCGAAAGCTGGGCGAGGGCTGCTAAAACCGTGGCTGCTAAAACGGCCTTCCCGGAAGGAGAAAACAACTTTCCGGAATGAGGCGCGGCTCGCGAAACTGTCAACGGGATTCTTCCCGGAAGGACGAAGACAACTTCCCGGAGGTCGATTTTAGCAGCCACGAATTTAAGCAGCCTTTCCCCGGCTTCAGATCTTGGCTGTTTTTTGGCGCCTGTTTCGAGCGGGTCGAGCCTCCCCCAGAGGAAGCACTCTTGCAAACAGTCGCACTGGGCAGAGGTCTGGAGGCAGACCCCCCCTTCCCCTCCCCCGTCCTCCCAATGTCGAAACGCCGAATAACAAAAAAAACGCTCACATAGCACAACCCGTAAGTCGGGCCTGTCCCTCTGCAGGAGTAACAGAATAGGTTTGAGACGATTTTGCTTTACTATGTTTGATCATTTGTTCTTGGTTTTTTGGGGGTACTTGTTTGTTCGTTCAAAATCCGGCTGTAGGAGGACACGCCCGACCTAAACCCCCAACCCGAATAACACAACGAATTCGTGTCCTAACTTGGGCCCACGGTGTTGAGGGATACCCCCAAACATATGGGTGGCTGCATGCTCCGCTCGACCCCTCTGCAAACAGAGGCCCTCTATCCCTCATGTCTTTGGCCCTCCCAGCCTAGTTCCCCTCCCAGAGGGTCAGGGGTTTTTGCCGTTATGGCTTGTCAGAGTCCCGAGCAGAGCATGGAGCACCAAGACCACGACGACGCTGCCCGGCGGTCCGTCCGTCCCCTTGTGGGCCCTCCGAGTCCCCTGCTGGCCCTCCTGGGGGCCGGTTCGCGGCCGGAGCGATTCCAGCCAGCTCGGTTTGACCGAGTTCAGTGATTTCAGGAGGAGAAAAGACACGCAGGCACAATGAATCGTCGACCCCCAGGAAAATATGGCAAAATATACGAGAACCCAGAGAATCCGGAAAAATATTGGAATCCTGTTATTTGTGTCTACTTATTTGTGTGCCCGAGGGCCCCTTCACGATTGGGCCGGCTTCGGCCCATCGGTTCGGTTCGAACTGACAGGTCCGGTTCCGACCGATTCGGTCAGGGCTCCAGTTTTCGACTCTTCGTAATTAGGAGTGACTCTTCGCCGGAGTGACCTTTGGTGCGGGCTCACGGGTTCTCCCCTATCGCTGAGTGAGATGCGATAGCAGCGGCTTGTGCGCTTGGTTTGGACCCCCTTGCGCCCCCCTAGAGTCGCGCAGCAAAGGTCATTCTTGCCCAGGGTCGCTCTCGCGTGTAGCCGAACGTCGGCCGGATAGGTGGCAGAAGCCGCTGGTCAACGGCTACCTGTTCGGTGCAGAGCCACGATGCGATACGTCTGCGCGGCCACCTTTCCATGCTGGGGGTGCAGGCGAGGTCCGTGCCTCCTGGCCGCGGGTAGCGCACGTGGCGCTGGCGCGAAGCTCATCGCAAGGGAGCGTAAAGTTTCCCAGTAATCCATGTCTCGAACCGTGCCATGCTAGACCGATCCCAGGGCCCTATAGTCAACCCGCATAGTAGGGACGGGTAACCTTCCCAAGGGTACCCTTGCATTCTTGCCTCCTCGGTCTATCCTTGTCCTCTTTCGTTGGCCGCGCTCCGCTCGAGAAGTGTCGGCATGGTCTTCAAGCTCTTTCCATCATTACCGCGCATCCTTGTTGTACGAGTTGACTGTCCGTGATCAATACAGGCGCCCCCCCTATGACTGTGCATCGGGCGATGTTCCTGAGACCTCTGTGGCCAGCGAAGTTGCCAGACGATGCTCGCCGTATTTTTGCTCCGGCTTTCCGCGACGCGCGCCTGGAGGTTCAGGTCACGCGCGCCGCCGTCCCCTCTCCTCCTCTCCCCCATCACTGAAATCAAAAAATCCACTGACGTCGCAGCTTCTTGCTCAGCGAATGCATTGCTCAGTGAAGGCAGTTTTTTTGCTGAAGGCAAGAGTTCTGGCCCATGGTGCAAATTAATGGGGGAACGAAGAATGACATTAACATAAAAACTCTGAGGTCCGCGCGGATTTCTCGGATCCGCGCTGGACCCCCCATGGCGGCGCTTCTGACGCCGTCCCTGGCGCGCTCCGCGCGCAAGGGAGGAGGGGCCCAGCGCGGATCCAAGAAATCCGCGCGGAGCGCGAAAAGTTTATGTTCATAGCACCCCATTTGTTATGCTGATATTTATGTCTTTGGCGCTTTTTCTTCTTCTGCAGAAGCCCACCGAAGGCAAACATAGTGGGAGGCATCGAAAAGGCTCCTTCTCCCCTACTCCTCTTCCTCCTCCTGGTGGTTCGATGGTTCGAGGATGGAGGATGTTTGCCTCAAGTGAGAAATTGGGTGCCTTCAGTGAGCTCTCTCGCGACCCTGGGCCCTTCGGGTCTCAGCACCCTTTTCGAGTGTCGTTGAAGATGCCCCCTGGCCTCAAGTCGGGCATGTCCCTCTGCAGGAAGAATATTCAAAACTAGTCAAAACATAATGTTGGGACGATGTTTGTATGTTTGCATATTTTCGGCATATTTTTCAATACAAAATAGGTTATCATCCAAAATCCCTTTGTAGGGGGGCATGCCCGTCCAAACCCTGGCCCCAGGTGCCCCCGGGATTTCCACGGAGGCCCCCAATGCCAGAACAACAGCAGCAGCAGCAACAACAACAAAAAACAACAATCATCTCAAAACCGTTCGCGAGTGTCATTCAACGTGTGTTTCCCGAACCCTGGATACCCGCCCTTTTCGTCTTCGAACGTACCCTTTTTGAGTGTTATTTCGTTCTTCCCTGCAGGCCAGGCCCTGGCAAGCGGCGGGGCGGCCGCGGACCGTCGGCCTGGCCAGCGGCAGCGTTGATCGGCGGCAACCCGACCCCAAGAGGGACGGACAGGGGACCGACGACGACGACGACGACGACGACGACGACGACGACGACGACGACGACGACGACGACGACGAGCGAGAGCGAGAGCGAGAGCGAGAGCGAGAGCGAGAGCGATACCGACAGCGACAGCGGGGCCACGGGCAGCGAGGGGGCCACGAAGGGCGACAGCGGGGCCACGAAGGGCATGCGTACGGGGCCACGAAAGGCGCGAACGAGCGGGGGCCACGCAGGGCCGATAATGTGGGGCCACGGGGCAACGACGGGGCCACTGACGGTAGCAACGGGGCCACGCGGGGCGGCGAAGGGGCCACGAATGGCGACAGCGGGGCCACGAGGGGCATGCATATGGGGCCACGGCGGGCGCGAACGAGCGGGGGCCGCGAAGGGCATGCGTATATTGGGACGCAGAGGGCAAGGGCGGGGCCACCGAGGGCAGCTACGGGGCCACGAAGGGCAGCGAGGGGGCCGGGAAGGGCGAGCGCCGGACCATGAAACGCATGCACTGGGGGCCACGAGGGGCTGCGAGGCGGCCACGAAGGGCTGCAACGGGGCCACGGAAGGCAGCGAGGGGGCCACGAAGGGCTGCGACGGAGCCACGAAGGGCTGCGAGGGGGCCGCGGAAGGCAGCGAGGGGGCCACGTAGGGCTGCGACGGGGCCACGAAGGGCAGCGAGGGGGCCACGAAAGGCTGCACTGGCTCCACGAAGGGCAGCGAGGGGGCTACGAAGGGCTGCGACGGGGCCACGAAAGGCAGCGATGCCCCGATTTGTAAGTAAGCTGTGAAAGTAAGCGTGAGCGCGACTCCTGGGTGCCTGAGTGTCGGGAGCGCGGCGCGTGAGTAAGTGCAATTTGCGTCGAATTCCAACGCAAGGGCGCGATGTTTGAGCAAATTGTAAGGAAGTCACCAGCGAGAGCGCGACTTCAGAGCGAAGAGAAAGCGATGCTTGAATAAATTGCAAGGACGTTCCAAACGAGAGCGTGCTTCCGGAGGATGTTGCGAGGAAGTCTCAGGCGGCAGCGGGAGTCCTGGCTAAATGGTCAGGAAGTCTTCAGGCGGGAGCCGTTGTTGTTGTAACCCAGGGGCCCACGACACAATTTGAGCCGAATGACATTCCCTGATATCCAACAGGGTGCGAGCCCTGGGGGAAACATTTCGAGTGCCTAAAAAACACAACTGTCACCGGAGAGGAGGGGTCAACAATATTTTTTCTGTCGTCAGAGTTCAACAACAGCAACCTGGATTGAAACACAAGTTCTGGGACCAAAACAGATTGCCCGCCCCACGGCGGGAAGAACACCCCTCAAGAAACCTGGGATGCCCCACTTGGGGAGCTGGGCTGGGGGGGGGCACTTTGGGCCAAGGACACCTTTGAAAGCAAGGCCCGCCCCTCACCCAGGGTTGGCTCCAGGCGGCCCGACGACATCGACAATGACGACGACGACGAAGAAGTCCTTGCGACGGCCCCGCAGCCCGGGGGGCGGCCTCCAACGGCCGTCATACGAGGGCCGCGGCTCGCTCGTCCTCCCTCGCCCTCCGAGTGCCAATTATGAGACGGTCGATCCGATTCAAATTCGGTGCGAGTTCCATGCTGCGACGATCCAGCGCGGCTGGATGCTCGCATGGGTCTGTGGTGTGCTGTGCATCCTGGCGCGACCGATCCAGTTCGATCGATGTCGTGCCGTTGCATCCCGATCCGACGCACGTTTTGATCCGATCCGATTTGACGATTCGATGTTTTCTGATCCGACGCTTGTTTTTCCCCGACGTTCATTTTTTCCTTGAAGTAATTCACGTTCTTGTGCGAAATATTCATTGAGGAGTTTTGGTACGGCGTCGCGATGACCCGCCCCTCCGGCGTTCGCGCGACGCGCGCGCGCGGCCGCCAGTCTGGCGACAAGATGCCCTGGGAGCTGGAGGGTTGGGAGAGGCGCCCCCCGCGCGCTGGGAAGAGGGTCGCGGGAGGAAGAAACGGCACACGGTGGTCGTTGGAAGCGGGTATTGTTGGCCTCCCAGGTCCCAGTCTACATTGGGCGCTCTCCTGCAGTGGTGGCGCGCATCAAGAGACTGAGTGCACTTCGTCAGGGTAAAATACCCCGAGTTTCTTCGCCCCGCGCTCTGCGCGGTGCCTTCCCGTGGCCGTTGAAGGAGTTGCTGCGTTCAGGGTGCCCTGGGGTCCCCCCTTAGCATCTCGCGCCTGCGGGTTTCAGGGCTGGGCTTCTTGCGAGGGTTTCTTGCGGCCGCGCCCGCAGTGTACTTCAAAGGTATAGCGTTCTCACCTCTTCCCCCTCTTCAAGGAGCCAGGCGGGAGCGCTATCTGCTTCCGATGTTTTTTTTTGCATGGTTCGGCCCATTTCTTCTACCCGACGGGCACCGGTACCGCTACCCTTGCCCCGTTCCCTCCTGTCATGGGCCTCCTGGGAGGCTATCGCCGCCGCCGCTGGATCCGCCTAGAAAAATTCTGGTCAGAACGCACCCGAGAAAGGATGCGGGGACTTACGGTATCGGTATCTTTTGGCTTCCCCAGGGTCGTCATCCGTCGTCGGCGGCGGCGGCGTGGTCGGCCAACATCCTCGCAAGGCAGGGGGCGTGTACCGAATACCAAACAACAACTTTTCAAGCTCACCACGGGTTTCTTGGATCCGCGATGGGCCCCCCTGGCAGCGCCTCCAGCGCCGCCCCTGGCGCGATCCGCGCGCCAGGGAGAGGGGTCCAGCTCGGGTCCGAGACATCAGAGCGGACCGTCAACGGTTTAATTATGTGGATGCCGTTGTGGCGTTCTTCGATTGCAGAAGGGACGGGAGCCTTCTGGAAGGGCTTCTCGGATGGCCGGAGGGCTTCTCGGGAGCACTTTGCCCTCTCAGACGGCCCCCCCGCTCGCTCGCTCCTCCTCCTCCTCCTCCTTCACCTCCTCCCCCTCCTCTCCCTCCTCGCCACCCCCTCCTCCCCCCCTCCCCCCCCCTCCCCCTCCCCCCCCTCCCCCCCTCCTCCCCCTCCTCCTCCTCCTCCTCCCCCTCCTCCTCCTCCTCCTCCTCCTCCTCCTCCTCCTCCTCCTCTTCCTCCTCCTCCTCCTCGCCACCCCCTCGCTCGAGGTGCCGACAGGATCAGGGGGGCCACGGGCCGGGGACGGGCACAGAGGGGGGGGGGACGCATCGACCCCCCATCGCCCACGGAGCGCCGACAGGGGCCCGCTGGCCCGACCCTGCCCAGGAGCGCGCGGGCTCACCATCAGGGTCCTGTCGCCGAGCCGTCGGGAGGTAGCTCGGAGGAGGGGCAGAGGTGCCCACGCCGCTGCCCATCGCTCGTTTTCCCCCTTTCGTCGCTCTCCTGGGAGGTGTGCTCGTCGCCCCCGTGGGTTTCGCCCCGAGATCCTGGTCAGAGCCCCCCCTCCGGGAGAGGTCCGGGGAGCAGCGGTATGGGTGCCTTTTGGCTTCCCCAGCTTCGCCGGTGCTGAGTCGACGCGTCGCCCCGTCCCCCCCCCCCCCGCCCCATGTTCGTTGCCCCTCACAGGAGGGGCGGTGAGGGGTGGGGCCGGCCAGGAGCCAGGAGCCCCCCTCTCCCCGCCCGCATCCCCGCGCAGGTCGACCCGCTGGCCCCATGCTCTCTCCTCGGCTGTTGTGTTTTCAATCCTCTGTGCTCCTTCCTCCCGTCTCCCGTCTCCCTCTCTCTCTCTCGCTCGGAAGAAGAAGGAGAAGGAGGAGAAAGAACGGCAGAAACATAACCTTTTGAAGATCCGCGCGGGTTTCCTGCATCCGCGCTGGGCCCCCATGGCGGCGCCTTCGGCTCCGCCCTTGGCGCGCTCCGTGCGCCAGGGAGGGGGTCTGGCTCAGATCCAAGAAATCCGCGCGGACCGTCGAACGTTTATGCTCATGCCGTTTCTTCTTGCTCTGCTCTCTCTTTCGTTTCTTCATCCTCGTCGTCTATCTCTCCTCCGTCCTGCCTTACTCCGCCGTCATCCTTCCTCCCAGCTCTCCCCTCCCTTTTCCCCCCTCCGTCCTCACGCCCTCCGTCCTCCCCCTGTCCTTCCTATGCGGATGGCCGAAGCGCCCCATCCCTCGTCCCAGGTCCTCAGTCGCAGATTGTTCCGAGCGTGCGCGCGGCGCTTCGGAGGATGAAGCGAGGTACGGATGCTGTGGAAGGACCAAGTTGATATGCCCTATGTTTATTGCAGTGGAGTGGCGCATGCCGATGAGCACATTCGAGCGTGATAGCAGGGATGACCGACTTCCCAAGGGTACCCTTGCGCCCTTGCCTCTTCGGTCATCTTCGGTCCGTCATCAGCCACTTTCGATGGCCGGCCCCGCTCGAACAGCCTCGGCATGGGCGTCCAAGGACCTTGCATCCTTACCGTGCATCCTTATTGTATGGGTTGACTGCAGCACAACACCTGTACACATGAACTAATTCGGAGGCCCGTGCGGAGTTCTTCGGTCGGCGTTGGACCCCCCCCTGCGGTGGCTCTGGCGCCGCTGACGGCTCGCTTCGTGCCTGGGGGAGAGTGGTCAAGCGCTGGCCCAGGGAATCCCGCGGACCTCGGACAAGTTGTGTTGTTGCTTTCTTCCCCATCTGCAGTTAACCCACACAGTGGATACTGATGAGCAACTCTGCAAGGCCACCCTTGCACCCTTCTGCTTCGGCCCATCCTTGGAGTGTCGACATGGCCTTCCGAGGCCCTTGCATCCTTCTCGCGCGTCCTTATTATACGGGTTGACTGTAGTATGACAGTTGTGCGGACACGGGCGCGGCACCACGGGCAGCGGCAGGTTGTAGTTAAGGCATTTGTGTGGTGCGAAAATGTTTCAGATTTATTTCCCAGTCGTCCTGGTCCTGAACAATAGGGTTTCATGATCACGTTGCCGTCATGTAGGAGGGAACGATGGCAACCACGAGGCCATATTCTTTCGCATTTCCCCCTCCCCTGGTCCTCGAGATCACTCCTCCTCCTGCTCCTTCTTGAGGATCAGGGATGAGGCAGGGGCCTGCCAAGGTACGACAACGATGCTGAGAAATGGATCGTGGACCCCGCTATCGCCGTCAAGGCGCGCACGGATGGGGCAGGATGATACTTCAGATCCCAGCGACGATCGAGAATTGCGGCTCGAGGTTTAGGCCAGTTTGTGGTGTTTCGGGGGATCCTTGGAGCGTCCTCTTTGCCGCGGCTGGATCCGCGTCGGGGTGCATCTTGGAAGGGGACTGGGCGATTTTGAGGTCGACCTAGTCCTAAGCACCTGCTTGTAGCGCAGGGCGTCGCATTCTCACACCACGCGTCCAGGATGTATGGAGTTCGCCTCCCTGCGGAGCTCGAAGTAGGTGAGGGTCGTGCCGGAGTAGGCCCGAGGCTGCATGCGCGCACGCCCATTGAGGCTCCAGGTAGGTCTCGCTATGCGGGCACCAAGCGCGTGAGGGGTGTGCCGAAAGGTGAGTCCACCACCACCCCAAAAATGAAGCCGTCGGCTGAGCTCCCTGTGCGTGCACAAGGCGTGGAATGAGTGTGCCGAAATGGGCGGTACACCCATCCCCAACTGTTGCCGTCGGTGGAGCTCTATGTGGGTGCACGAAACGTGAGATGTGTGCGCGAGAGAGAGAGAGAGAGTGAGTGAGTGAGTGTATGTGTGTGTGTGTGCGCGTGTGTACGTGTGCGTGTGTGTGTGTGTTTGTACGTGTGTGCGCGCGCGCGCGCGCGTGTGTGTGTGTGTGTGTGTGTGTGTGTGTGTGTGTGTGTGTGTGTGTGTGTGTGTGTGTGTGTGTGTGTGTGTGTGTGTGTGTGTGTGTGTGTGTGTCTGCGCGTGTGCGTGTGCGCGTGTTTGCTTGCGTGAGCGTGGATGGTTGCCCCTCGCTGCTTGACAATCCTGGCGAGTAGTCGGTAGTCGTAGTTGCGTTCGCCGTGGGCTGAGACTTCGCCCATGGCCGCGATATCGTACTCCGCCACGATTGTGCGTCTACTCGCGCCGTTGATATATCTCCCCTCTGTTGTTTCTCCCTCACTCCTTTCTGATAGGACGGCGGTTGTTGATTGGGTGGCCAACTCGCCGCGCATGTCGTGCCCTGATAGTCACCTCTAGTTTCGTTATGGCACGTCGTTCTGGTGATGGGACAGTTGATAGGGTTCTGCAGGCAGGTCTTGCGCGCAAGTCTTGTCATTCATATTTGTACTTCATTTCAGGCGCATTGAGCATAACGCGCGTCGGGTGACGCGGTTTCTTTTTGGGGTACGTTGTGGTGGTGTTGCCGCGTGTCGTAGGTCCAACATACCACCCCTCATCGCGGCTGCTTTGCTTTGCGGGTCTGTAGGTCTACACCCTACCAATCTGCTTCGCAGGACCGTGCTGGGTCGCGGCTTACCCCACCAACTTGCTGGTCTGCCAGCAGCTACAGTATTGCGAAGGCCTTACGGCCGGTGCCGCCGACCCTGAAGACGACGGAGGGGGAGCAGGAGGAGGAGGCAGAGGAGGTGCTCCCCCCCCCCGGGTATCCGGCTGGGACCCCCCCCCCTGGGGGAGGGGGTAGAAAGGGGCTTCCATTCGAGTAACTACGACGTTGCTCAGATCGGCATCCCCCCCGCGTGGCGGCCGCTCCCCTCCCCCAAAGGGAGCTGCCCGGGTGCCCCCCCCCCCGGTATCCGGGTGCCCCCCCCCCCGGGGGAGGGAATAAAAGGGAAGGAGCTTCCCTTCGAGTAACCGCGACGTTGCTCGGATTGGCTTCCCCCCCGTGTCGCGGCCGCTCCCCTCGCCCTGGGGGAGCTGCCCGGGTGCTCCCCCCCCCTCCCCCGCCCCCCCACCCCTGGGGGCGGGCGGAGATAAAAGGAAAGGGGCTTCCGTTCGAGTAACTACGACGTTGCTCAGATTGGCTTCCCACCGCGTCGCGGCCGCTCCCCTCCCCCGAAGGGAGCTGCCCGGGTGCTTCCCCCCCCCCCCGGGTATCCGGGTGGGACCTCTCCCCCCCCCCCCCCCGGGGGAGGGGATCAAAGAGAAGGGGCTTCCCTTCAAGTAACGGCGACGTTGCTCAGATTGGCTTCCCCCCCGTGTCGCGGCCGCTCCCCTCGCACTGGGGGAGCAGATTGGTTTCCCCCCGGGTCGCGGCCGCTCCCCTCGCCCGGGGGGAGTCGACCATTCCCCCTCTTGGAGCCGAAGTGACGATCTCGTGGGCAGCTCCCCTCCAGCGAGGGGAGCCGACCATCCCTCTTGGAGCCGACATGTGGGCGACGACGACGACGACGACCAACGCAAGATGACGAGATCAGGATACGTTTTCCACAGGCCGACAGGGTCGGCCTGCCAGCAGCTACAATATTTGCTGTGCGCCGCACTGTCTAACGCCGCCCTGGCCGCGAATTAGCACCAGGCTGACTGGGTTTGAGTTCAGTTTGAGTTGAGTATTCTCCTCCGTTCTCTGGCCGCTGCATGATTCGTTTGGCTTACAGTTCCTCTAGCACACCCATCGCCTGTACTCCACAGTGTGCGGTGCACAATGCCCGCTCGCAAGTAACACTTCCATCTGCTGACCGCGCTTGAGGAACCTCTACGCCGGCGACTAACAGGTGTGTGCGCGTGCGCGTGCGTTTGCGTGCGTGTGCATGTGTGTGTGCCCTAGGGCTCTGCCTGCTCGCCTCTTGCCTCTCTTGCCTCTTTGCCCCGTGCGGTGACTCTCAATAGTACCACCACGGCTCCTCGTGCCACCCAGGCGGGACGTCTGTTTGTGCGGCTCTCCTTCCAACATGGCCTGTTGGCTATGGGCTATATCCTTCGTGGCGGCGGCTCGCTTCGTCCTCGCATGGGACGTCTCGCGGTGGGCAGTGCTCTCTCCCCTTGCCATCCACGCCCGGATGGCTACGGCCTGTGCTGGCATGGCTGCTAGTGCGGCAATCCAAATCGATCTGACTTCCTCCGCCTCGTCCACGCGCACGAGGCCGCTCCCCCTCAAAACTGTGTGTGTGTTTTGTGTTTGTGCGTGTGCTTGTTTGTGTTTGCGTGTGCTTGTGCTTGTGTTGTGTTTGTGATCGTGCGTGTGCTGGTGTTCGTTCTTGTGCTTGTGATGGTCTGTGTGCTTGTGCTTGTGCCTATGTTTGTTCTTGTGCTGGTGATTGTGATTGTGCTGGTGTTGGTGTCGGTGTTAGTGTTTGAGTTTGTGCTTGCATGCGCGTGTGTGCTTGCGTGTGTTTGTGACTGTGTTTGTGATGGTGTTTGTTGTGTTTGCGTTTGTGTTTGTGTGTGTGTGTTTGTTGCGGTTGCGTTTGCGTTCGCGTTTGCCTTTGTGTTTGTGTCTGTGTTTGTGTATGTGTTTGTGTTGGTGTTGGTGTTTGTGTGTTTGTTTGTTTTTGCGTTTGTGTGTATGTGTGCGTGCGTGTGCACGTCGACCTTCCTACGCTCTGACGGTGCGCACAGGGCCGCGACGCCCAGAAGTGTGTGTGTGTGTGTGTGTGTGTTCGCGCCCGGGTGGCATGAGGCGATGCCCTTTCTGAGCCCCGCGCGCGCGGGACCCTGGCTGCTCTACAGTCAACGCTCCCAGTAAGGGCGCGCGCCGTCCTCCAGGATGCCCTTGCGTCCTTGCCTCCGTGGCCCCTCCTTTGCCTTTTTCACTGGTCGCCGCCGCCCAAAAAAATCCCAACTTCAGCCTGCAAGGGTCTTGCGTCCTCACCACGCGTCCTTAATCTAATTTTCTCCACTTCGTCGCTGTGCAAGGCCGCCGCGGCCAAAATTATCCGGGCGAAGGGCCCAACCAGATGCAGTTGTGAGTGTCGCCGTTGTGGGCATCGCCTTCGGTGGATCTCCTTATGGGGCCACGAAGCGTGTAAACTGTGTGCCGAAATGGGGCAGGGACGCATGCGGGCGCAGCCATTAGGGCCTTCGGTGGCAGTCCAAATGGGGCCACGAAGCGTGTCAGTGCTGTGCCGGAATTCAGCAAGGACGCAATGCGAACGTCGGGGACGCATGCGAATGTCGCCACTGGGCCTTTCGGTGGAACTCCGTATGGGGCCACGAAAAGCATGAGGGGGGGTGCCGAAATGGGCGGGGGGACGCAGGACGCATGTGATCACAGCCGCTGGGGCATTCGGTGGAGCTCCTTATTGGGCCTCGAAGCGTCGTACTCGGTGGCGCGGGGCGCATGTGATTACAGCCACTTGAGCCTTCGGTGGAGTGCCCTATGGGGCCACGAATCGCCGTATTGCGTGGCGCGGGGCGCTTGTGATTACGCCATTTGAGCCTTCGGTGGGCTTCCCTATGGGGCCACGAAGTACCGTAATCGGTGGCGCGGGGCGCATGTGATCACAGCCAGTGGGGCCTTCGGTGGAGCTCCCTGTGGGGCCACGAAACACAGTAGTGCGTGGCGCTGAGCCCATGCGTTCACAACCAGAGAGGCCTTCGGTAGAGCTCTGTATGGGGTCACGAAGCGCCGCACTGGGTGGCGCGGGACGCATGTGATCACAACCGCTGGGGCCTTCTGTGGAGCTTCCTACGAGGCCGCGACGCGCCGTGCTGGCTGGCGCTGGACGCATGTGATCACAACCACTGGGGCCTTCGGTGAAGGTCCTTGGGGCCACGAAACGCCGTGCTCGGTGGCGCGGGACGCATGTGGTAATAGCAAGTGGAGCATCCGGTGGAGCTCCCTACGGGGCCACGGACCGCAGTCACAGCCGTTGAGGCTTTCGGGGGAGCCCACTATCCGGCCACGGAGCGCCGTACTGGGTAGCGCGGAACGCATGTGACTACAGCCACTGGGGCCTTCGATGGAGCTCCAATGTGGGGCCACGAAACGCCGCATTGGGTGGCGCGGGGGACGCATGCGATCACAACCTTCGGGGCCTTCGGTGGAGCTCCCTATGGGGCCGCGAAGTGCCGTGCTGGCTGGCGCGGGGCGCACGTTATCACAACCTTTGGGGCTTTCGGTGGAGCCCACTATCGGGCCACGGAGCGCCGTACTGGGTGGCGCGGGACGCATGTGATCACATCCTGTTTTCGATGGAACTTCCCATGGGACAACGAACGCCGTTGTGGGTTGCGCGAGGCGCACGTGATCACAGTAGCTAGGGCCTTCGGTGGAGCTCCTTATGGGGCCATGGAGCGCCGTGCTGGGTGGCGCGGGACGCATGTGATAACAGCCGCTCGGGCCCTTGGTGGAACTCCGCCTGGGGCCACGGAGCGTCGTACTGCGTTGCGCGCGGCGCTTGTGATCACAGCCAGTGGCGCTTTCGGTGGATATTTCCTTGGGGACCCGAAGCAACGTACTAGGTGGCGCGATGCGCATGTACTCACAGCCATTGAGGCCTTCGGTGGAGCTCCCTGCGGTGTCACGAAACGCCGTGCACGGTGGCGCGGGGCGCATGTGATCACAGTCAGTAGAGTAGGGCCTTCGGTGGATCTCTTTATGGTACCACGGAGCGCCGTACTGGGTGGCGCTGGGCGCATGTGTTCGCGACCGCTGAGGCCTTCGGTGGAACTCTTGATGGGGCTGGGGAGCGCCGTCGTGGGTGGCGCGGTGCGCATGTGATCACAGCCAATGTGGCCTTCGCTGGAGCTCCTGATTCGCTGGAGCTCCTTATCTGCTGGAGCTCCTTATGGGGTCACGTAACGCTGTGCTTGGTGCGCTGAAGTGGTGGGCATGCGAAAGGCAGCGGCAAGGGCGGGAGGAGGATTGGGGAGGAGGAGCGAGGAGAGGTGAGGGGATGTGAGGAGAGGAGGGTGAAGAGACGCGGGGCGCCGTCTGTTCAAAACGGGGATCCAGCACCACAGGGTGGTTGAGAACACGCGTGTGTGTGCGTGTGTGCGTGTGTGTGTGTGTGTGTGTGTGCTTGTGTGCGTGGTGTGGGGCGTGTGCGTGTGTGCTTGTGTGCGTGTGTGTTGTATGCGTGCGTATGTGCGTGTGTCGTGCGTATGTGGGTGTTGTGTGTGCGTGTTGTGTGTGTGTGTGCGTCTGCGACGGGTGCGAATGTGCCAGTGCGTGTGTGCGTGCGCGCGCGCGTGTGTGTGTGTGTGTGCCTGTGTGCCTGTGTGTGCGTGCGTGCGTGCGTGCGTGCGTGCGTGCGTGCGTGCGTGCGTGCGCGCGCGCGTGTGTGTGTGTGTGTGTGTGTGTGTGTGTGTGTGTGTGTGTGTGTGTGTGTGTGTGTGTGTGTGTGCGTGTGCGAGTGTGCATGTTTGTGTGTGTGTGTGGTTGTGTGTGTGTGCGTGCGTGCGTGCGTGCGTGCGTGCGTGCGTGTGTACGTGTGCATGTGTGCTTATGAGAGTGGGCGTGTCTTTGGCTTCAACATCGAGAGTATAGCGAGGCTATGTATCTGGGCCACCCCTGCAGCTGTTTAAAGGGAGTTGGCTTGATCTTCGCATCTGCGCAAGCGTGGGGAACCAGCAGGTAGGAGTCCAAATCTTGCTGCGCTGGCAAACTT